AAACAAGAGGTTCAGTAAAAGCTCTGTAGTCCTAAATTTGAACTGTAAATATCAGTACTAACTTATGATGTCTACTAATGTCCACTGTGATGTAATGTCCACTAGTAATGAGCAGCCTAGCATCCAGACTATGGTCTTTAAATCTATTTTCCTACTGAAAGAAATCAGAGCTTCTTGAAGAAATAGCTGATTGCATGACTGGGGCAGGAAATATACAGGATAAGCCTAGAACACCTTAATATACTAGATAATGAGAAAGCTATCAAAGACTAATAGGATCATATCAAAAGGACTCATGGGTAAACATAAAGAAGCTCCCACTGGCCAATGATGGAAAACTTTGAACTTCAACCATGATAATAATTGCAGTGGATTGAAGCAAATCAAAATATATTTAAATCCACAAGTCCATAATAGCAATAACAATTGGTCACACATAGAGGATGATAGGAAGCTCATCATGAGAAAGAATAAATACATGGAAACAATCCAGCATTTATCCTTACTTTCTTATATGAAGTATACCACTGTATAACCAAAGAGTAGATAAGGGGAGGTGTCTCCTTATAAAAGTAATCCAGCTAGTAAATGGAAAAGAAATTATAGACTATTACCATTTAACAGTCCCCAAAAATTAATCCACCACTTGTCTGTCAGTTTGTCGAACTGTGGTAGCTTGTGTGTTGCTATGAGACTGGAGGCTATGCCACCAGCATTTCAAATACTAGCAGGGTCACCTATTGTGGACAAGTTTCAGCAGAGCTTCCAGACTAAGACAGGGAAGAAGGACAGGGCCATCCACTTCTGCAAAAATTGGCCACTGAAAATCTTATGAATAACAGTGAAACACTGTCTGATATACTCCTGGAAAAGTTTATGAATACCAGTGAAACACTGTCTCATATGGTGCCAGAAGATGAGCCTCTCAGGTTGGAAGGCACTCAAAATAATGACTGGGGAAGTGCTGCCTCTGAAAGTCAAGTCAACCTTAATGACGTGTATCGAGTAAAGCTTTTGGGACCTTCATTTGCTGGTGGAGCATGACTCAAAATGGGAAGAAACATCCATTAATAATTGGAGCATGGAACATATGAGGTGTGAATCTAGGAAAATCAGAAGTTGTCAAAAATGAAATGGAACACACAAGGATCGATATCCTAGGCATCAGTGAGCTGAAATGGATTGGTACTGCCCATTTTGAATCAGGCAATTGTATGGTCTACTGTGATGGAGATGACAAATTGAAGAGGAATGGTATTGCATTCATTGTCAAAAAGAATGTTTTAAGATCTATCCTGAAGTACAGTGCTGTCATTGATAGGGAAATACTCATACACCTACAAAGAAGACAAGTTAATACAACTATTACTCAAATATATGCACCAGCCATGAAAGCCAAAGGTGAAGAAATTGGAGACTTTTACCAACTTGCAGTCTGAAATTTGATTGACCAAATATGAAATCAAGATGTATTCATAATTACTGGTAATTAGAATGCAAAAGTTGGAAATGAAGCATCATGAGTTATTGGAAAATATGGCCTTGGTGATAGAAATGACTCCAGAGATCACATGATAGGATTTTGTAAGGCCAACCACTTATTCATTGCAAATATCTTTTTCCAACAACATAAAATGTGGCTATACATGTGGAGCTCACCAGATGGACTCACCAGGAATCAGATTGACTGCATCTGTGGAAAGAGACAATGGAGAAGCTCAATATCATCAGTCAAAACAACGCTAAGTGCTGACTTTGGACTAGAACATCAATTGCTCATATGTAAGTTCAAGTTGAAGCTGAAGAAAATTAAAACCAGTCCAGGAAAGCCAAAATATGACCTTGATTGTATCTTACCTGAATTCAGAGACTATCTGAAGAATACATTTGACACATTCAACACTAAATGAACAAAGACAAGATGAGTTGTGGGATGATATCAAGAATATCACATGTTAAGAAAGCAAAAGGTCATTAAAAAGATAGGAAAGGAAGAAAAGGCCAAAATGGATGACAGAAGAGACTCTGAAACTTGCTCTTGAACATAGAGTAACTAAATTGAATGCAAGAAATGATGACATAAATGCTCCAAAAAGATTTCAAAGAGAAGCTCAAGAAGACAAAGTAAAGTATTATAATGAAATGTGCAAAGACCTAGTGTTTAGAAAGCCAAAAGGGAGGAACACATTTGCCATTTCTCAAGCTGAAAAAACTGAGGGAAAAATTCAAGCCTTGAGTTGCAATATTGAAGGATTCTTTATGCAAAATTTCGAATGATAAAGGAAACATCAAAAAAAGATGGAGGGGATACACAGAGTCACTGTATCAAAAGGAATTGGTAGATGTGCAGCTATTTCAGAAGGTAGCATATGATCAAAAACCAATGGTAATAACTATTGTAAAAAGTCAAGGAAAGGTTTATATATGGAAGGTAACTTTCTTTGTTGGTTACCAAGGGTGGGAAGGAAGGGGAAGGAAAATTGCTAGATAGGTAAGAGACAAGTATTGATTTGGGTGGAGGGAAAGGCAATATACCAAAATCAAGTGACCAACACAATAAGGAAAAGGAAGACACAGAGTGGTGCACAAAAAGTACAGAGAGCAAAGATAAACACTTTTTATATACATAATACTACATTATCAGTAATAACAAACATTAATCTGTAGGTGGATACATAAGTAGACAGGCTAAATGATCAGGTATGTGATATAAAAATGTCCATATATATAACAGAACTAACAAGGGGCAAAGTTATAATAACTTCTTAGCCACAGCCAAACACCCTGAGGCAATGAGTTACTGGACCCATGGGCTTGGGACCATGGTTGAGGGGGACATCGAGCTAAATTGGCATAACATACTATACAAAAACATTTTTCTTCATCCTACTTGGGGTCTTAAAAGCTTGCATGTGGCCTTCTCAGATCCAACAATTGGTCTCTCTTCATCCGGTGCAAAGAAAAATAAGAAAACCAAAGACACATGGCAACAATTAGTCCAAGGGACTAGCGGACCATGTGAATCTCAGCCTATATGACCCTGAGAACAGAGGAACTCGATGGTGCCCAGCTACCACTGTCAAGCACTTGGAAAGTGATAAAAATAGGAGATCCAGGATAGAGTGAGAGAAAAATGTGGAACAAAACTCAAAATCATTTAAAAAAAAAAAAAAGGCTTAGTTTTCTGATAGAGACCAGTGAAACCCCTGAGACTATGGCCTCTAGTCACCCTTCAGGCCTGGAACTGAACTCACTCCCATGGCTTCCAGCCAAACAATAGACAGGGCTACAAAGTGGGAATGTATGTATACACTCACATGCTTATGTGTTTTCCAGGACGATTCACTCGCCATTTGAATATCATTTCCATCAACACCTTTGAGGATGATATTTTAACCAAGATTTTTAGTTCCATCATTGATTGGCACTTCACAAAAGGGTTTGATGTGATGTTCTTAAGGTAAGAGGTTCCTATATCTTTCCAGAGATTGATCTGAGAGTCCTGAATTTGGATCCTTTATTTATTGGTCTGCCTTCTCCTTCTCCACAAGGTACGGAAAGATGCTGGTACAAGCTACTATGGCAGTTTATAAAGCTGCAGTAGAAAATTTCTTGCCAACTCCCTCCAAGTCACATTATATCTTTAACCTGCGAGACTTCTCACGGGTGATACAAGGGATACTGCTGTGCCCTCATACCCACCTGCAGGTCAGCCAATATCATTCCTGTTACCAATATTATTCAGCAATATCCTTGGCTATGTGGAAAATACAATGATAATAATAATTGCTAACTTTTATTAAGCACTTAGTCTATGCTAGGCACTGTGCTAAGTATTTTATAAGCATCATCTCATTTAACCCTCACATCAACCCAAGTAGCTCTGTTTGAGAGCTATCTCCTTAGGTACCACCTTCCATTCTTTCAAATAATTATCTCTGAATTTTTAGGATGTAGAGAAATTTATCCGGCTTTGGATCCATGAGGTTTATCGGGTCTTCTATGATCGTCTGATTGACCAGGAGGACAGACAGGTCTTCTTCAACATGGTGAAGGAAATCACTTCCAATTGTTTCAAACAGACCATGGAAAAGGTAAGTCAGACTCTGTGATAGTTTTGACTCAGAAATGGTCCCAAATGTTTGACCAAGTAGTCTCACATTTCAGGTTCTGTTCCCAGTGGATACTAGCAGCTGTGCTAGCTAGGAAACTGGATTGAGTCAAATAGTCCTTTGATGTGTTAATGTTTTATTTCATCCAATTTTGCTTCACTTCCTTAGTAATATATGAGTTTGGATTATTTGAAGTGGCTTACAATATGATGACATTTATTGTGATTCAGTTAAAATGTATTTTTAAAATCAAGTAAAGAAATAAATCATGGAAGTTAAGAAATAAATCATGAATTTTCATGGTTTGATTGAGGCCCTGGTAAAGCCTAACTGAAAGATCATCATAGTCTCCGTTTGTGAATATTTTCTCTTTTCCATTTTGATACAAGGAAAGTTGTTTTAAGCCTATATATGTATATCATCTAGTTCTGCCTCCATTGCTAAGAAATTGTGATTTCATGTTAGAAAAATTGCAAATGTTTTTATGTTGAATCCAGAGGCTAAGTTAAGTGCATTAGTAGTTAAGGAATTTGGCTGCTAACCAAAAAGTCGGTGGTTCAAACCCACCAGTGCTCCACGGAAGAAAGATGAGGCCATCTGCTTCCATAAAGATTTACAGCCTTGGAAACCCAAAGGGTCAGAATTGACTTGATGGCAGTGAGTTTGTTTTTTGGTTTTGAATATCAGAAAGAGGAAGCATCTTAACCATTACTACTTTAGGCACAGAGAGTGGAGCCCAGGGGTAATGCTTGAGTCTCTATTTGGTGTAGGAGCAAACACATAAAAAATAGTACCATTTTCCAGCTGTCTTCTCTGGGGGTCTTGCAATCTGACCACTTTTTTTTTTTTTTTTTACCACTTACCAAACAGACTAATCCATACTTTCTTTCACACTCTTTCCTTTAATGCCCTTTCATTGTAGTCTTTATAACCATACACATATTATGGTTTGTTCTTTTTTTCAAAGAAAAAACTGTTGATGAACTGTGACTTCTGAGGAATGTGCTCAGAGTAATCAAGTGTATTCCTTGTCCGCTCCCTCCATATCTCCCACTGACATTCTGACTGGGTCACTGGCTGAATGCTTAGATGAGACTTACTTTTCTTACAGGTCCTTATCCACCTGTCGCCGACTGGAAAGCTTGTTGATGATAACATTCGTAGCCTCTTCTTTGGAGATTTCTTCAAACCAGAGAGTGACCAGAGAATCTATGATGAGATCACTGACTTGAAACAGCTCACAGTGGTCATGGAGTATTACCTGGAAGAGTTTAACAACATCAGCAAGGCCCCCATGTCCTTGGTCATGTTCAGGTTCGCCATTGAACACATCTCCCGGATTTGCAGGGTCCTGAAGCAGAACAAAGGCCACTTACTTCTGGTGGGCATTGGGGGCAGTGGGAGGCAGAGTGCCACCAAACTGTCCACATTCATGAACTCATATGAGCTGTACCAGATTGAGATCACCAAGAACTACACAAGCAGTGACTGGCGAGAGGACTTAAAGAAGATCATGCTACAGGTCGGCGTGGCCACCAAGAGTACTGTGTTCCTCTTTGCTGATAACCAAATCAAGGATGAATCATTCATTGAGGACATCAACATGATTCTGAACACAGGTGATGTGCCCAACATTTTCCCAGCTGACGAGAAGGCTGACATTGTGGAAAAGATGCAAATGGCAGTCAGGACAGAAGGAGAGAAGATTGAAATCACTCCTCTCTCTATGTATAACTTCTTTATTGAGAGGGTAAAAAAGAACCTTCATGTTGTCCTTGGTAAGAAGAAGCAAACACAGCCTTACTTTTTATTCTGGGTATAGAAGCCTAGGAGTTGTGCTTAATACTTGTCTCTTGTTACTAAGTCCTGTTGATTTTTACCTCCTAGATATCTTTCATTTTCACCCATTTATCTCTATCTTCACCACCTTTACATTAGCTGGGGGAAAAAAAAAAGCCATTGAGTCATTTCTGACTCATAGTGAGTCCCATTGGGTTTCCAAGGCTATAAATCTTTATGGAAGTAGATTGCCTCGTCTTCCTCCCACAGAATAGCTGGTGGGTTTGAACCATCCATCTTCTGGTTAGCAGCCAAATGCTTACCCATTCCGCCACCAGAGCTCACATTAGCTAAGTTGCCATTATTTCACCCAGACATAACCCCTGCAGTCTAATTGTTCTCACTATATCCACTTTCATCCTTTCCAAACCTTTCTATTCCACTGAACCAGGTGATTTTTTTTTTAATTTACTGCAAATATGTTTCTCTATTTCTCTCTCTTACACGCATATATATGTTGTTGTTGTTGTTGTTATATGCCGTCGAGTCGGCCCCGACTCATAGCAGCCCCTCCTTGGGTTGCTGAGGCAGTATCACTATGGAAGTAGATTTGCCCAACCTTCCTTCCGAGGAGTGGCTGATGGGTTTGAACCACCAGCCTTCTGGTTAGCAGTCAAGTGCCTTAGGCACTACTCTACCAGAGCTCTATACAAACATTGAAATAGCTATTTATTAGATAAAGATGAGAATTCCTAACCAAACCAAACCAAACTCACTGCTGTTGAGTCATATCAGACTCATAACGACCCTGCCATGGGTTTCCGAGGTGGTATCACTATGGAAGGAGGGCACCTACCAGGCTATTCTCTGTGTCCCCTCCAACCTTATCTCAAACCAAGCTTTCCCTTCTCTCTGTGTTCTTCAGCCACACTGACCTCTTCAAAATTCCACTCATGCATTATGCTTCCTTGTTACCACATTGAGTACAAAGAACCAAAGAATGGAGTTTAGGTCATATAATCCAAAATTTGTGGTGGAGGGAGATGAGGTCAGAAATAAGCTCATGGCCCACACAACTCCTGTAAGCAACTGTGGGACATCCACAGCTCTTTCATGGCTGTGATTTGGTACAAATAGAGCAAGTAGGCCAAAGAATTCAAACCATCCTAGCTAAGTGACCAGATGGTCTACAAAGGACAACCCTGGGTTTAAAAGACCTGTTATAGGGCTGTTGCTGTTGCTATACATTAAGATCTCATCACAAAGTTCCATGAAAATATCCAAACATCTCCTTGAGCTTCCCAGACAGTTATCATGGCTAGTCCTGATTACATGCCTGGAATACCAAAGGGAAACATAGACTCTACCACTACCCCAACCCAGACCTCTGCCTTGCCCATCCCAGACCCTTGGAAATACCTACCTTTCCCCTGGAGTTCTCCCTGATTTGGCAGAATGGAACTAACAAAGTTACTTTCCACAAGCCATGAGTCCAATTGGGGATGCCTTCCGGAACCGCCTACGGATGTTCCCTTCGCTGATCAACTGTTGTACAATTGATTGGTTCCAGTCCTGGCCCACAGACGCCCTGGAGTTGGTGGCCAACAAATTTCTGGAAGATGTGGAACTTGATGACAACATTCGGACAGAGTAAGTGTTAGCTGCCTTTGAAAATCTGAATAGTGGCTTTATTTTTGCTGTTGTTTTAAAACTTTCACAAATTAATGAAGAAAAAGTCTTATACTTTCAAATCAAACCACATTTAATTATATATTTAATATAACACTTTTGAAAAATAGTAAAATGCTATTGTTGAGAATTGTCCAACACATGCACTGTTGTCATATCTATGAGGACCTGGGTGTAATATATTCACTGCCATTGAGTCAATTCCGACAACACAAAGTGACCACCATTGGGTTTCCAAGGTTATAAATCTTTATGGAAATAGACTGCCTCATCTTTCTTCCACAGAGTGGTTTTTGGGTTTGAACCACCAACCTTTTGGTTAAGCAACCAAATGCCTTAACCACTACATCATCAGAGCTCCTTGGATGTAATATAGCTATTTCAATAATCTTAGAGCATGCATCTCAACATCACTGCCAAGGGAATGAAAATTGGTTCTTGGGGGTGGAGGATGAAAAAAATCTTATTTTATGTATATACCAATAAAAGTGGTTTGGCTAAAGTAAGAGAAGAAATGAGAATGTAAACCATTCTGGAAGCTTCTGGAAGGCAAGGATTATGTTACCTGACTTGTCTAACCCTACATCCTTAGTGTCTAGCAGGTCTCAGGTCTATAGCCTACTGCTATAAAGTCCGTTTCGACTCATAGTGACCCTATAGGACAGAGTAGAACTGCCCCATAGGATTTCCAAGACTGTAAATTTTTACAGAAGCAAACTGCCTCATCTTTCTGCCATGGAATGGCTAGTGGGTTCGAATCACTGAACGTTTGGTTAGCAGCCTAATGCTTTAACTATAGTGCCACCAGAGCTCTCCCTGTTTGGTACATAGCAAGCCCAATTAATGTTTATTAAATGAATTAGTGAAAAATTAAGAAGTTAGAGATCAGAATGCTGATAGCCTTAAATTCCATTTTAAGAACTTTGAACTTTATTCTCTAGGCCAGGAGATTCATGGATGAAAATTAGAGGGTTGGTGAGTGTGAATGGGAAAAATTACATCTTCATTTTCACTGATGTCTAACTGGTATTCTACGTTTTCTGCAATGATGAATGTATGCAGCAGACTCCAGTAGGATTAACAGAACCTGTGACTTTGCTACCAATAGGAATTACTGTTATTTTCATAACTGGTTATGGTGGTTATGTTTCTGTGTCAACTTGGCTGGGCTTGGTTGAATGGTGGTAGTTATTCCCCATGATGAAATTGGCAATCAAATCCATGGTGGGATCTACCACAAGCAGCTAAGTATCTGCTTCAGGTATGCAGTCTGCTTCCTTTATATAAGAAGCAGCTTTGGGAATGGTCTCTAGCTTATGGCATGCTTCAACCCTGCATGTAGCCATGTCGTTGCTCAGCAGCCTGCCATGCTCTGCCGACCTTAGGACTTTCAATGGACTTAAATTAATGGCCTGCGTGTGGTTTGGTAACATCGAGACTGTGCCTTTTTCCTTGTCAACCTTGGGTTTGTCGGTCTCAGCAGCCAGCAGCTGAGTGAAGAAACGCCTGCAGCTGAGTGAAGAAACGCCTCCAGCTGCAGTGGGCTGGAGGCAGGAGGCAGCGCTGAACCGCAAGGTTGAGGGACTTTCACCCAGCCCCTAGAGCCTGGCACTTTGACTTTGGACTTAAAGCACCCAAACTGTAAGAATAAACTCCTGATGTTCAAGCATCCACATTTGTGGTATATTCCTGTCAGAGTGGTACTGTTGTTGTTGTTGTTGTTATTTGCCGTCGAGTCGGCCCCGACTCATAGCGACCCCTCCATGGGTTTCCGAGGCAGTATCACTACGGAAGTAGGATTGCCCAACCTTCCTTCCGAGGAGTGGCTGGTGGGTTTGAACCACCAGCCTTCTGGTTAGCAGTCAGGTGCCTTAGCCACTGTGCTACCAGAGCTCCTCAGAGTGGTACTAGGTAACCAGAATTCTGTTCAATCATTTTACATACCACAGTGTATAATTTCCTTCAAAATGTTAGTAATTATTAGACTCACTGATCAATCTTGTTTTTTAACACAGGGGTCAGCAAATTACGGCCCACCGGCCAAATCTAGCTTGCAGCCTATTTTTGTAAGTGAAGTTTTATTGGAACACAGTCGTGCCCATTAGTTTACAGATTGTGGCTGCTTTCCTCTTCAAAGGCAAAGTTGAGTAGTTGGGACAAAGCCTCAAACATTTACCATTTGACCCTTTACAGAAAAAGTTTTCCAATCCCTGATTAAATGCTCCAATTAAGAAGTACATATATTATTATGTGACAAATTTTTTATTTAAAAATATTTCAAAAACTCTATGATAATATCATTAGTTTCCTTTGGAATCCTATGTATTTTATCTTATGCATTTAAAATTTGGAAAAGTCCTGAGGCTTCACCATTCTGCCAAAGGTTAAAAACTGCTGCTTGAGTCCTTATTATTCATCAAAGGCATTATCGATGGAAATGATCAAAGATCTTTCCAGTAAGAGTATACACTTACCCATCCTTCTGTACCTTGACTCTGTTGAACTGTTTTCAGAGAATCAACTTGAGTGGGCTGTAATCAGTGTGTGCCTTCTTGTACTCTCATGTCTGTACCTAACTTGTGTTCACTGTGTTTAGAGGAATCAGGGCTTACCTAACTGCCCCTGTGGCTTTGGCAGGGTTGTCTCCATGTGCAAATATTTTCAGGAGAGTGTGAGGAATCTGTCACTTGATTATTACAACACACTCCGCAGACACAACTATGTAACTCCTACCTCCTACCTCGAATTGATTCTGACCTTCAAAACACTCCTCAATAGCAAGAGGCAAGAGGTTGATATGATGAGGAACCGCTACCTAACAGGCCTTCAGAAGCTTGATTTTGCAGCTTCCCAGGTGAGTGACCGCTGAAGTAGAACAGGGACAGATTGGTTGAGGACTAGGTAGAGGCAAGTGAGGCACTCATTTAGGCATAAAATTTAAGGGGGAGCTATCTGAAGAGACCATTTCTTGGAGAAAAATATGCTTGGTCAAGTGTAGGGTCAGCGAAAAAGGGGAAAACTCTCAACAAGATGGATTGACACAATGGCTGCAACGATGGGCTCAAGTACAGCAAGAATTGTGAGGGTGGTGCACGACTGGGCAATGTTTTGTTCTGTAGTATGCAGGGTCGCTATGAGTCGGCATTGACTCAACAGCACCTAACAACAACAACATCTGAAGAGAGGATCTGACCCTGCATTTGTGCAACTCACCTCACTCTCCTCCTCCTAACCTCATCCTATTGGATCCTTTCTTTATTTAAGATTTTGATATTTTGTTCATTGTAGATGTTTTTGCGTTAATTTTTATTTTAAAAAAATATATATTGCCTTGAAATACTAGTTACCTGGGGTACTGAGTTTTTTGGCACCCCTTAAAATTTGTGCCCAGGGTGAGTCCCTTACTCGCCTCACCCTGGCCCCAGCCCTGGCTACTCTCAGTGGAGAACTGGAGAGGCTAAGATGGTGGTTAAGACCAGAGCTTCATGGAGTCAGACAGACTTGGCCTTAAATTCCAACTCTACTACCTAGCAGCTATTGAACCTTAGACACATTATCTCACCCCCTTGAGCCTCAGTTTCTTCTTCTGTAAAAAGAGGATGGTATTCACACTTACTGCCTAGTGCTTGCTCAATTTTCCAGTGCTGCCACAACAGAAATACCACCAGTGAGTGACTTTTACAAACAACTTTTTTTTTCTACCAGTTTGGTAGGCTAAAAGTACAGCTTCAGGGTGCTGGTTCTAGGGTAAAGCTTTCTCTCTCTGCTGGCTCTTTCAGCTCTGTCCCTCAGTTCTTTGGTGATCTTTCTGTGGCAAGTATGTTACCCTCCATTGCTTGCTTGCCTCTGTGTCTAAGCTTCTCCTTTTATATCTCGAAAGTGATTGGCTTAAGACATACTCTACAATGATCAGCTTCATTAACATAACAAAGAAAACCTGTTCCTAGATGGGCCTATACCCACCTGTATGTTGTTGTTAGGTGCCACTGAGTTGATTCCGGCTCATAGTGACCCTGTGTACAACAAAATGAAATACTGCCCAATCTTGTGCCATCCTCACAACCCCTGCTGTGCTTGAGCCCATCACTGCAGCCACTGCGTCAGTCTGTCTTGTTGAGGGTCTTCCCCTCTTACACTGACCCTCTACTTTACCAGGCATGATATCCTTCTCCAGGGACTCATCCCTTCTGACAACATGACCAAAGTAGGGGAGACGAAGTCTAGCCATTCTTGCTTCCAAGGAGCATTCTGGCTACACTTTTTCCAGGATAGGTTTGTTCATTCTTCTGGTAGTTCATGATACTTTCAGTACTTTTCACCAACACCACAACTTAAAAGAATCAACTTTTCCTTGGTCTTTTTTGGGAATACAATTCAATCTATAACCATGCTCTTATGAAAGAGCTGAAACAACTTAACCCATAGCAAAATGCCTGGTGTATCAATTATTAATTGATTTGTGCTTGGCACTACTTGGAAAACCATCTAAAATTAGAGTCATATTAAGAGAGGGAGTTTTAGTCACCAATAAAGACTAAGGTAACTGATAAGTTTACAATCGGACCTGTGATCAGCAAACTTGAAAACACTGCAACACAAGCATGAGAGAGGATATCGGAGGTGGCCCTCATTGTTCTGTGCCTGAAGGTGCTGGGTCCAGCTCAGGGTCCTTTTAGAGAGATACTGGAAATTGAGGTCTGTCCAGACAAAGGTGAGCCACCTGTGTTGTTAAAGGAGCAGAAGCAGACCATGCAAAAGGATGACAGTGCCAGGTAGCTTTCATTGAGCCCTGCCACATGCCTGGCACTGTGTCCAAGGAACATTGTCTTGTCATATCCATGTTACACACAGGGACAGGAAAGTGCAGAGGCCAGGTGACTCACCCATGCAGCCTTGTGAGTGGTCCCCATGAGTGGCCGGGCCAAAATTGGAGCTGAGACCTGCTATACCCCAGAGCCTATGTTCATAACCAAGCCAGCACACTGTGCTTCTAACACACAGCTTGCCTAGGACAGTGGGACCAGGTCCAGAAACCTTCTTCAGATACCTGAAAGCCAGTCCTGTGTGCCTGAGCTGCCTCAGAAGGTGGAATCCAGACTAGCAGGCAAACACTGTAGGAGTGTAAATTCCAGCTCTTTATCAGGAATATTTAAGGGACTTTTAAATGTAAGGCACCTCCTCTGAGAGGTGGCATATTAGTTTCCCAGGGTATCATAACGAAAATACCACAAAATGGATGACTGTGAATCGAACTTTCTGCACAGTTCTAGAGGCTCCAAGTCCAAATCAGGATAGAAGGTTGATTCTTTCTGGGGGTTCTGAGAGATAAACAACTCGATGCCTGTCTTCTAGCTTCTGGTGGCTCCCACATCCTTGGCATTCCTTGGCTTGCAGCTGCATCTGCCTCCTTTGTAGACAGAGGATAACAAAACGTTGTCCGGTCCTGCATCATCCTTACAGTCGCCAGGATATGCAAGCCCATCATTGTGGCTGTTGTACCAATCCATCTTACTAAGGGACCCTCGTTGGCCCTCTACTTCACCAAACATGATGTCCTTCTCTAACAATTGCTGTGATAGGTTTGCATTGACTAATTTTCAGAAATAGATTGCCAGGCCTTTATTTGTAGTCCGTCTTAGTGAAAGTCCTGCTGAAATCTATTTACCGTGAGTGACCCTGCTGGTATTTGAAATATTGGTGGTGTGGCTTCCAGCATCATAGCAATACTCAAGCCACCAAGTATGACAAACTGATAGATGGGTGGAGGTCCTACCATTAGAAGTATTCAAACAGAGGCTGGAAAATCACTTAGCAGGAATGTTATAGAAGGCATCATACTGTTAGAAAAAATAGTTTTGAAAGATGAAAACTCCTTCAGTCCAACCTTTAAAAAAATGTTGTTGTTGTTGTTGTTGTTTGCCGTCGAGTCGGCCCCTCCTTGGATTTCCAAGGCAGTATCACTACGGAAGTAGGATTGCCCAACCTTCCTTCCGAGGAGTGGCTGGTGGGTTTGAACCGCCAGCCTTCTGGTGAGCAGTCAAGTGCCTTAGCCACTATGCTACCAGAGCTCCCTTTAAAAAATGTAGTTATTTTATTTCTTTCTTAACTTGCTTTTAATCTGTTATTCCCTGCCCACAACACTATAACATAGGCTCGGTGAAGGAGGAAATGATATGTTTTGGTTTTGGTTTTCATTTCAATGCCTATGGTAACATCTGTTTTGAACTCAACACTTGAGTGTTAAAAGAAAAGAAATAAACACCAACTAAAAAAGAACCCAGTATCACATCAGGATTGTTAGTAAATATTTTTCTGCTGGTTGGAAGATGGGTTCCACTCTTGCCGACTGCCATTTGCAGCATTGAGGTACTGATGCTGGTCTCCTCCTGCCCCTGTCTCCTTGCTAGGTGGCAGTCATGCAAATAGAGTTGACTGCCCTTCAGCCTCAACTCATTCATACCTCTGAGGAGACTGCTAAGATGATGGTGAAAATTGAAGTGGAGACAAGAGAAGCTGATGCCAAGAAACTTCTGGTGCAGGCTGATGAGAAAGAAGCCAATGCTGCTGCCGCAATTGCTCAAGGAATCAAGGTATAGAGGGCTGAGAGAAAGAGATGGAATGAGCATTTTCTGGGCTAGTCCATTATCTCTCTAGAGCCTAAAGTTGTTGTTGTTGTTGTTATGTGCCGTCGAGTTGGCCCCAACTCATAGCGACCCCTCCTTGGGTTTCCGAGGCAGTTATCACTACGGAAGTAGGATTGCCCAATCTTCCTTCCGAGGAGTGGCTGGTGGGTTTGAACCGCCAGCCTTCTGGTTAGCAGTCAAGTGCTTTAGCCACTATGCTACCAGAGCTCCTAGAGCCTAAAGTAGTACTGTATAATGGCTATGGTCGTGCCCATCTTGCCAGTGAGATCAGAGAGGCTCAGAAATGGTAGGTGCTTTTCCAGTGACACATAGCTAGTAAGTGATGAAGCAAGTCTTCCCAACACCTGGCTTTCTCCAGGAAGCATATTTTGTTTTCCAGAATTTCCCATCTCACTCAGAGTCAAGGCCTACAAGACCTGATATGATCAGACCTCATCTCTTACTCCTTCTTTCCTCTCCCCTGTCACACTGCTCTGGCCATGATAATATCCTCACTATTCTTCAAATAAACGTCGGGCGAGGTCCCACCCCATAGCTGTTTTCTCTGCCCAGAGTGTTCATCCTCCTGATACCTACATGGCTTCTCATTCAGTTCCATCGTGGTTTTTGCTCAAATGCACCTGGTGGGACCTAAATAAATATTTATCATATGACTGAATGTTGAACCTAAAGGGCTCCATTCAAAAGTGACTTAAAAAAAAAAAAAATAGACGAAATTGTCCTGGGAAAGGCTACATTCAGATATTAGAAGCAAATCTGATTAACATTGGTGTGATGTACATTTATCAAAGTGCTTTCAAATACAAGATTTCATCTGAGTGTCACAACTACCTTGAGACTTAGGAATGATAGCGGTATCAACATCTGAGAATCGGTAGCATTGAAGTTTGGTGGTAAAGTAACTAGGCAAGAATCACACAGCTAGCCACTGGGATTAGAATCCATGGCTTATGGTGCTTAGTTTAAGGTTCTTGTCCCTATGCTCTCACTTAGTAGCTAGAAAATTTGTCAACTGTTCTTCAAACTGAGATCTTAAAGAAGACTATGTCTGGCTTCTATGACAAATAGGTCATGGGGTATTTTCTTGAAGACAAGGCCTTGAAGACTGACTTTTCTCCAGTGAGCTTGAGATCTGGCCTCTTGTCCAGTCCCTGATTTCAGAGACATATAGTGAAATGCCCTGAATATCAGGCACTGGTTCACTCACAGTCCTGGTGGCACTGATGGAACTATAAAGATGGGGACTGCCAGCACCAGGAACCATAATCTAGCTGGTGATTTGCCATTCTATGACAAGATTAGTAACAACTACAGTTAGCACTATGGTGGCATCTCTTGTAGTTTTTCATTTAAAAATACTTATTGAGCACCTACTATGTGCTGATTCTTTTGTTGGCATATGGTCAACATTCCTTCCTTAATGGAGATACAGTCCACTCCACCTAATTTGCATTCCTTTTGTCATTCTAATAGCACTGGAAGGCAAGTGGTATCAACCCCAGTTTGCAGAGTAGGAAATCTTAATTCAAGAACTTAAACAGCTTGCCCAAGATCGTACTACACAACTCAGCAACTGACTCAGTCCAAAGCCCTTCCATTTGACCATTATTTCAGAAGTTGCACATTGGCAGCTAAGGAATACATGTAAACTATGACACACACCACATAGAGTATTTCTTAACAATCAAAAATAGTTATCAGTATTTCAAATTCTGGAGATTTCAAGTAAAAAATTTGAATGTTGAACTTTTCCTTAAAAGACCACCACCACCGAATCAACCCTTCCAGCAACACTGAGCTGTGTTCCTATGTTGCACCATCAGTGCATTGACTAGATGTCTGTGTGTTTCAGTTCACCAAAGCCCCACCCAGCCTGCTTCCCACACTCAGAACACCCACCTGGGGTGCCACAGGGAAGGGGGGAAGCCACACTCAGGGTTCCACTCTGCAATGTCAGGGGAAAACTAGGGAGGGAGGAGAGCCACAGTGACTAAGGCTTATAAGGAGCTGACTCAGGACTCCCGCCACACCCTCTCCGGGCAATAAACTGCCACCTTGGTTTCAGTGCAGAGGGTGAGGTCTAATGCCTGCCTTCCCATTCCGTGTCGTGTCCCGGGAGGACCATTGTGGAGGTGTGGTGGGAGGGAAGGGGAAACCATCTAGGAAGGAGAAGAAACCTGTGTTTGCTCTGCTGTTCCCTTGGGGCTTTCATGTGGCCTGGAATTCATTCCTGAACATCTCAGAACTGCAGTTGTTAAGCCACAGAAGGTCTGTGGCTTTTCCCTACTTTCCTCACACCCAGTAGATGAGTACACAGAGGGAGCACCCAACGTGGTACCTAACACACACTCGGGGCTCAATCATGTGGATGGAATCCATACTGGGGAGATTAGGAGAGACTGGGTAAAAGCAAAGGCACTCTGGTGATACAGTAGTGCTTAAGGCATTTGGCTGCTAACCAGAAGGTTGGCAGTTCGAACCCACCAGCTGCTCTGCGGAAGAAAGATGAGGAAGTCTGCTTCCATGAAGATTTACAGCCTTGGAAACCCAATGGGGTCTTTATAAGTTGGAATTGATTCAATGGCAGTGAGTTTTGTTTGTTTTGGTTTGAAAAGAGCAGGATCTCTGGAACGCTTGTTTCACCAGTGCAAAGGTTTGCATAAATGAAGCACTTGTTTTCCCCTAATAAGGATTGTAAGTGGTACCAGAATTACTGCAAAGCTGAACGCGTTCACCAGGATGCACTGTACTTCATACCTCTCCGACAGCCCTGGTGCTGCTTGCGTGGCACCGCCACAAGGGTGAATTTTAGTGATGATATTTGTATCATTGAAACAAATATTGTAAACGAATATTAACACATATGAAAGAACTTTTAAAAACTCAAATGTAACACTTTTTCCTTTTTTCAGGTGTCCTTCTAGTTCCTATTCATAGCACAATTGGGATTTGTATCATGCTTTTTCCCCTAGCATCCTTTCACAAAAGTTTTTTCCAAAATACCAGGTCATCATTTTAATGACTTGGTAAGTATGTGCATCACCCATCAAATAGCCATTCCCTAAACTCAAACCCATTGCCATCAGTTCCAACTCATAGTAACCCTATGGAGCAGGGTAGAACGGTCCCATGGGGTTTCCAAGGCTGTAATCTTCATAGAATCAGACTGCCATGTCTTTCTCCCACAAAGCAGCTGGTAGGTTCGAACTGCCAGCCTTTTGGTTGTCAGCCAAGCACTTAACCACTATGCCACCAGGGCTCCTTAGCCATTCCCTTACTGGACATTTAAGTCAATTCCTTCTGCCTCTTTGTCTTCAGTGTTCCAATAGTGTAAAGCAGAGTTGTATGTCAGAATCACCTTTGGAGTTTTCAAAAATTCAGATGCCCAGACCCCACCCAGACTGATGAATCAGAATCTCTGGGCATTGGGGTCTGACCGTGAAGATGTGTACATGCATCTAGATGATGCTGACGCACAGAAGGCTTGCAAGTCACTGTTGTGGACACTGTCACAATTAGAGGCCTTCTTGAGTTGCTTGACAACCAAGCTTGCCCGAAGACTAAAGTGTCAAGGTGCAGAGCAGCAAGGTCAGTGGAAGGAATGAAACATGCTGGGCCACTAGTTGTCTGGCCGGTTAGAAAATAGGATGGAACTACTGACGATGTGACACCTTAGGCACCTGGGATCATTGAAATCCACTGAGCACCCAAAGCTGTGAGCCAGCACCTTTGGTTTCCTCCACCACCAAACCCTTTCTGAAGCTGACTTGAGAAACAGGAAGGACTGGTTGAGGAGTTCTTCGTTGCACTTGGCACTTTACTCTGGTCGATGCCCTGAGCATGAGAAGGAGGCATCTGAAGCAGAACACAGAACATTCCATTTTGATGTTGGGGACATCGACACGGGTCAGTTTGGGAGCATAAGGAGGGCAGGTATTATTTTAACATGATGAAGCCAAATAAAGCTTAAGTTTATAAGAAAAGCAGAAAACATAAAATACAAAACCCATGATATACACCAAATCTTTTGACATCAAGTCAATTCCGACTCATACCGACCCTCTAGGACAGAGTAGAACTGCCTGGATACAGTAGGTTTCCAAGGCTGTAAATCTTTGCACAAGCAGACTACCACATCTTTTTTCTCACAAGAGCAGGTGAGTGCTTAACTATTATGCCACTAGGGCTCCTTATGATATACACAGGCAGGTATGTACACATGTGCACACACATGCAGGATACATAAGAAGGTGGAAACACCTTTGTTTTGTTTGCCTGTCACAGTAAACTTGCAGGATATTGAAGCTTCAACACATGCTTACCTTAAGTTTTCTAAGACTTACTCTCTTAGGAAGTTTTGCTTCAGTCATGCCTGCGGGGTCCGTCCTTCGTCTTGGGAACTAACAGAGCGATCGCTGAGGAGGGGAGGACAGGAGTTCAGGGTTGGAACCTGGCTCTGTGATTACCCAACTGTGTGACTTGGCTAACCCGTTTTACCTCTGGGAACCTGTTTTTCTTTTTTATGGAATTTGGTAGTAATTGGACTACTAAGTGAACAAATGGCCCCTTCCACTTCTAAAATCCTATTATAATGTTAAGCTTTCTTTTTAAAAGAAAAGATATGTAATACATTTATAATAATACTATTCTTGTTGTTAAGTGCTGATGAGTCTTTTCCAACTCATAGTGACCCTGTGTGCAGCAGAAGGAAACAGTGTCAGGTCTTGTGCTATCCTCACAATCATCGCTACGCTTGAGCGCATTGTTGTAGCCTCTGTGTGAATCCCTCTCATTGGGGGTCTTCCTCTAAAGCTGGCCCTCTGCTTTACCAAGCATAATATCCTTCTCAGGGTCGGGTCCTTCCTGACAGCATGACCAAAGCACGAGAGGCTAAGTCTTGCCATTCTTGCTTCTAAGAAGCATTTGGCAGTACTTCATCCAAGACCAATTATTTGTTCTTCTGGCAGCCCGTGGTATATTCCGTATTCTTTGCCAGCACCATAATTTAATGGCATCAATTCTTCCTTATTGATTGACCAGCTCTGGAATGCATATGAGGCAATTGAAATATCATGGCTTGGGTCCAGCGCACCTTTGTCTTCTTTGCTCTTTAACACATTAAACAGATAACTTGCAGCAGATTTGCCCAATGCAATACATCATTTTATTTCTTGACTCCTGCTTCCATGGGTGTTGTGGTGGTTATGTTGTGTGTCAACTTGGCTGGGCTTGGTTGAGTGGCTGGGCAGCTGGTGGTAGTTATTCCCCATGATAAGACTGGTAATCAACTCCATGGTGGGCTCTACCACAAGCAGCTGAGTAGCTGCCTTTGGGATGTGGTCTGCTTCCTGTATATAAGGAGAAGCTTTGAGAATGGTCTCTAGTTTATGGCACCTTGAACCCTGCATGTAGCCGTGTTGTTGTTCAGCAGCCTGCCATGCTCTGCCGACCTTGGGACTTACAATGGTCTTAAGTTAATGGCCTGCCATGTGCTTTGGTAACATTGGGACTGTGCCTTTTTCCTTGTCAACCTTGGGGCTTCTCAGCCTCAGCAGCCAGCAGCTGTCTGAGTGAAGAAACGCCTCTAGCTCCAGTGCGCTGGGAGCAGGAGGCAGAGCTGGACCCCAAAGTTGATGGGCTTTCACCCAGCCCCTAGAACCTGGCACTTTGAACTTGGACTTAAAGCCTCCAAATTGTAAGAATAAACTCCTGTTTGTTAAGACCATCCCATTTGTGGCATATTTCTTGTCAGAGTGGCACTAGGTAACCAGAACAGGTGTTGATTACAGATCCAAGTAAAATGAAATCTTTGACTACTTCAGTCTTTTCCCTATTTATCATGATATTGCTTATTGGTCCAGTTGTGAGGATTTTTGTTTTCTTTATGTTGAGGTATAGTCCACACTAAAGACTGTAGTCTTTGATCTTCATTAGTAAATGCTTTCAGCAAGCAAGGCTGTGTCATCTGCATACTGCAGGTTATTAATGAGTCTTCCTCCAATCTTGATGCCACATTCTTCTTCAAATAGTCCAGCTTCTCAGATTATTTGCTCAACATACAGATTGAATAAGCATGGCGAAAGGATAACAACCCTGATGCACCCCTTTCCCAATTTTAAGCCCCTTGTTCTGTTCAAACAACTGCTTCTTGGTCTATGTACAGGTTCCCTCATGAGCACAATTAAGTGTTCTGGAATTCCCATTCTTTGAAATGTTATCCATAATTTGTAATCATCCACATAATGGAATGCCTTTGCATAGTCCGTAAAACACAGGTAAACATCTCTCTGGTGTTCTTTGCTTTCAGTCAAGATCCATCTGACATCAGCAGTGATCTCCCTCATTCCACGTCCTCTTCTCAATCCGGCTTGAATATCTGGCAGTTCCCTGTCTATGTAGTGCTGCTACCGTTTTGAATTATTTTCAGCAAACTTTTACTTGCATGCGATACTTATTATATTGTTCAATAATTTCTGTGATTCAGTGTTTTCTAGTATATTCACAAAATTGTGCAAACATTTAATTCCAGAACATTTTCGTCACCCAAAAAGAAACCCTACACTCATTAGCAGTCTAACCCCATTCTCTCATCTGCTAGCCCCTGGCAATCACTAACCTGCTTTCTGTCCCTATGGATTTCCTTATTCATATAAATGGAATCATGTCTAGATGACCTCTTGTGTTTGGCTTCTTTTACTTAGCATAATGTTTTCAGGATTTATCTATGTTATAGCATGAATCAGAGCTTTGTTCCTTTTTATGTTTGAACAATACTCCATTGTATTAATTTTGGTGTTAAGTTAGCAATTAATGAACATAACAGACAGCATCTCCTTTGCCTTGAGCTCACCCTATCTCTGACTCCTTATCCAGCTCTATTCTCCATCCCCATTCTTCATCCTTACCCTGCCTTGAAAAGAGCCTTGGTGGCACAGTGTTGAAGTGCTTGGCTGCTAACCAAAAGACCAGCAGTTCAAACCCACCAGCCACTCTATGGGAGAAAGATGTGGCAGTCTGCATCTGTAAAGACTATAGTTTTACTCTATCTGATACAGTTGCTATGGGTTGGAATAAATTCTATGGCACACAAGAACCTTGCCTTGACCTCCACCCTATCCTCAAGCCTCACGCTATCCCTGATTCCTCTCAGTCCCATCTCTGAGCTGAAATATATTCCTGATCCTGAGCCTATCCTGGACCTTCTCTATCCTTTATGTCTTATTTCTTCCCTAAACTTGAAGTAACCCTCTTCCCGTCCAGGTCCTCAATCCATCTATCACTCAAGCCCAAAGCCTCATCCTTATCCTTTACTTTATCCCTGATCGATGAATGTGAAGTCATCGCATATATCTCTTGGGAATTCATTAAAAACCAAAAGCCTAATTTTTTAAGATTGCAAACTAGGCAAAAGCTCAGATGTCTGGGGCATCCAATCCACCCCCAAGATCATATGCCCTTCCCTGCATCTGGTAGACAGTGAAAACTACACTTAGGGCAGTGCTCTTGCGCACAGTACTTGAAGGACATCTAAGTACTCACCCTTTGTGTCTGTTCTGCCTGCAGAACGAATGTGAGGGGGACCTGGCCGAGGCAATGCCAGCACTGGAGGCCGCACTAGCAGCACTCGACACCCTGAACCCTGCGGACATCTCCCTGGTGAAGTCCATGCAGAACCCCCCCGGCCCTGTCAAGCTGGTCATGGAGAGCATTTGTGTTATGAAGGGGCTGCGACCAGAGAGGAAGCCAGACCCCGGCGGCTCTGGTAATCCCCACCAGCACCCCCATCCCACCCAAGAGGCCTCAGGTTCTGCTGCTCCCTGACAGGGAGGGTGTCCCCACCCAGTCAGGCCTGTGGGCAGCACTGCAGAAGTGTGGGGGAATCAAGAAAGGTGCCAGGATGTACTTGTGCACCCAGAGGTCTCATGTTTCTTCTCCACTGTCTCTCCTCCCCATCATTTGCGAAGATGCGGCATCTGTGGATGAAGCTGAGCTGAGTCAAGGCCCCTGCCTGCAAATCATCCTGAAAGTGAAGGTCATGTAGTCAGAGGACTGAGATGGAGCAGGCACATACAGAGCAGGGCGTATGGGAGAGGAAGAGAGACACGAGACACAGGAAGAGAGTAAGATGAGACAGAAAAAGGCTGAGAGGTTGAGAAAGAGATGTGGAGAGACCCAAGTACACACACACACACACACACACACACACAAAGACAATGAAACAGTGAGAGAGATGAGGAGGGGAAGAAACCAGGAGGGAGAAAGACAGAGACAGGGAGCGGGAAAGAGAGAGAGGGACAGAGACTCATATACCTAAAGTCAGACACAGAGAGACAGGAGACAGAAAGACCTGAGGGGAGAGAGATGAGGAGAGAGAAACAGAGACAGAGAGAAAAATTGAGACAAAAGTGCTGAAAGTGGGAGAGAAATGGAGACAGAGCAACCCAGAGAGAGAGACAGACAGACAGACGCACACACACGAGTCACAGAACCAGACAGCAAGCAAGTGGGAAGAAAACACCGGGAAGGAGAGGTTCAGGCAGGGAGGCAAAACAGAGAGTGAGCTTGTGCTACCAGTAGAGCTAGATAGAGACAGGGGCAAAGGAGGCAGACACTGAAATTCAGAGAGAGAGAGAAAAGAATACAAAGACTTGTAAATGGGGAGAAGGAATAAGGGAAGGAGAAAGGAGAGCCCCCTTTTATGATTGAGCCTGGAAGCATTTACAGGTGAATATTCACCCCCACTTAAAATCGGAATTAGATATAGGACCTTGTTTGAAGACCAGTGTGTTAGAATGGAGCAAAGGCTTTAGAAACCAAGTCCGGTGATAGTTCTACCTTCTGAGTTTTCCTATCCTGGAAAACCACTCTGCTCCCTCACTTGGGAGCCTCTGGCTCCTGCTTCCCCTTGCTCAGCATTCCCTCCTTTCTGGCCAATTTCAGGCCAAAAGCCAGATGTTGTTGTTGTTGTTGTTGTTGTTGTTGTTGTGTGCCATCGAGTCAGACCCGACTCATAGCGACCCCTCCTTGGGTTTCCAAGGCAGTATCACTACGGAAGTAGATTGCCCATCTTCCTTCCGAGGAGTGGCTGGCGGGTTTGAACTGCCAGCCTTCTGGTTAGCAGTCAAGTGCCTTAGCCAAGATGCAAAGGAGATCAGGAATGGAGGAGCAGGAAGAATTGCAAGCGAATTCTTTAGGAAAACAGCTGAGGTGTAAGTTGGCCCGTAATATATCAGACAGTGTTTCACTGCTTGGTAAAGTGAAGGGTCAACAAAAAGGGAAAAGGCCCTCAACAAAGTGGATTGACACAGTGGCTACAACGATGGGCTCAAGTATAGCAAGGATTGTGAGGCTGGCACAGGACCGGGCAATGTGTCATTCTGCTGTACATAGGGTTGGTATGAGTCAGAGTTGACTCGATGGTACCTAATAACAACAACATAAGTTGGCCTGAGCAAGGATGAGCTAGCCAACACTTCTTCACCCTGGCTGTCCCCAGAATCTCCTGGGAGCTTAAAAAATACTGAGGCCCATGCCATACCCCAAACCAAAAATAAAGCTCACTGTCGTCAAGTTGATTCCAACTCAGTGATCGCCACTGTGTTTCTGAGGCTGTAAATCTTTATGGACCTAGATAGCCCCATCTTCTTCCCACAGAGCAGTGGGTGGGTTTGAACAGTAGACCTTCTAGTTAGCAGCTAAATGCCTTACTCACTACACCACCAGAGATTCTTAATGCCATACCCCAGAGGTTCTTATTCCATTGGTATGGGGAGTGGCCTGACCGTTAATATTGTTGTCAAGCTCCCTGGGTGATTCTCAGATGCCTCCAGGCTTGAGAACTGCAGTGATACACAAAGCAGGGCCAGGTCATGAGTGCCTGCTTCTTCTTGGATCATTATTGATTAGCACAGGACTCAACATCGATGTGCCTTACTTTAAAATTAAAGCAGATTGTGTATTTTATTTGGAGTGTCTGGGTGGTGCAAACAGTTAGCAAGCTCAACTGCTAATCAAAATGTTGGAAGTTCGATTCCATGCAAAAGAGCTCAAAAGAAAAGGTTGGCAGTCTCCTGCCAGAAAATCAGCCACTGACAACTCGATGGAGCGTAGTTCTACTCTGACATGCAGAAGGTCCCCAAGAGTTGGCATCAACGTGATGGCATCTGTTTTTGTTTCTGTTTTTTCACTAGTGTATATTATTGACCTACGCCACCCCACTAGGATTTGGTGGGTACCTTTGAGTGGCGCAAAAGAGTTATTAAATTAGCTTTTGGTAATTTAAATGAATTTAAATGAAGTATATCATTTTCCAGAATATAAACAAAAACTTTGCTGGGAAGTATTTGGCTTAGTGGCTATGTTTACATTAGAAATGGGATACATTTGACCTGTTTGACTTAATACAGTGTCTAAAAGTATAACTTACTGATGAACCTGAACTTGGCAGGTGTTTATACTACCATGAGCCAAAGGGTCTCCTGACAGTTTTTTCCAATGTCAACAAAAGGGCCACTGTCCCAGGGTGGGATCCCAGCTCACATGATTAATCATTAGTCTATAACAGGGTTGGTACTAAAGAAAATAGGGGCCTGGCTTTGTTTTCTGGGCAGGCCACGGCAGCGTTCTGCCCGGGTGTGAGCCCTGTAGCTGCTCTCCCACCCCAGCTCCTTCTGAGGCTGCCACCCACCCATTCACTGATTCCCACTGTCCATCGCAAGGAGGACACTTTAGGTTCCATCCAACCTATTGAGTCAGATCCGACTCACAGAGACCCCGCCTGAGGTTTCTGAGGCTCTATCACTATGGAAGTAGATTGCCCAACCTTCCTTCCAAGGAGTCACTGGTGGGTTTGAACCGCCAGCATTCTGGTTAGCAGTCAAGTGCCTTAGGCACTATGCCACCAGAGCTCCTACAACCTGCCTCTTAGATTTGAAAAAGAGTGTTCAAAATACTCACAGGCTTTAACTCCTGTTGTCCTCTTCATCTATGGATGAAATACAGGATAACATTCATTCAATAAATATTTATTAATCACTGACTATCAGGCCCTGAGCTAGGTTCTAGTGAACACAGCAGGAACTTACATCTTGGAGGACAGGTAAACAATAAAAATAAATAAAAATGAGAAATTGTGAAAAATGCTGTAAAGGGAATTTTTTAAGCTCCCAGAAGATTCCAGAAGGAGCTCTGGTGGCACAGTCCCTAAGGCATTTGACTGCTAACCAGAAGGTTGGCAGTTCAAACCCACTAGCTGCTCTGCTAAAGGAAGATGGGGCAATTGACTTCCATAAAAATTTACAGCCTTGGAAACCCAATAGAGGTTGCTATGATGTGGGATTGATTCAATGGCAGTGAGTTTGATTTTTGGTTTGAAGATTCCAGGAGCAGCCAGGGTAGAGAAGTACTAGCTGGCTCGTCCTTGCTCAGACCAACTAATTACACCTGAGCTGTTTTCCTAAAAGATTCTCTTACAAAGTCCACCTCCTAACAACTGAGAGAAGAGGCTGGAGAAGAGACGAGGGGCCATCTTAGAAAGTGTAATCTAGGGAAGACTTTGTGTGGAGGTGGCTTTTAAAATGAGATCTGAAGTGTGGCCAGAAGCCAATCAGATACCATTACAGCATAAGTGAAGGATTCACGGGTAGGAAAGCACTTGGGATCAAGGAGGAATTGAAAGAAAGTACTTTGTGACCCAAGTCCAGAGAGTGAGGGAGAAAGTGGCTGGGGATGAAGTTGATGAGGTTGGCTGAGCCTCCCAGTCCATGACAAGGAGCTTGGATTGTTTCTTCCAAATAAAAGGATTAGCCTCTGTAGAGTTTTAAGTCAAAACCAGAATGTCTTAATAATATAACCTGTTATCTCTGCTTCTTGTGCCAAATAGGTAAGATGATAGAAGATTTCTGGGGGGTATCAAGAAAGATTCTTGGAGATCTGAAATTCTTGGAGAGTCTTAAGACATATGATAAAGACAACATCCCCCCAGCTGTCATGAAGCGGATCCGAGAAAGGTTTATCGATCACCCAGATTTCCAGCCAGCTGTCATTAAAAATGTGTCATCAGCCTGTGAAGGTCTGTGCAAGTGGGTGAGGGCCATGGAAGTGTACGACCGTGTGGCCAAAGTGGTGGCTCCCAAACGGGAGCGGCTGAGGGAGGCCGAGGGGAAGTTGGATGCACAGGTGCAGAAACTAAACCTGAAGCGGGCAGAGCTGAAGCTGGTGGAAGACCGCCTGCAGGCCCTGAATGTCGACTTTGAAGAGATGAACATGAAGAAAAACAACTTGGAGGAAAACATTGAAATCTGCTCCCAAAAACTAATCAGGGCAGAGAAGCTGATCAATGGTCTTGGGGGAGAGAAGGACAGATGGACAGAAGCTGCCCGGCAGTTGGGCATCCGCTATATTAACTTGACAGGGGATGTGTTGGTGTCCTCGGGAACCGTGGCTTACCTGGGTGCCTTCACAGTGGATTATCGGACCAAGTGCCAGAAGCAGTGGTTGGAGTACTGCAAGCAGAAAGTCATTCCTGGCTCCAGTGACTTCAGTCTCAGCAACATACTAGGGGATCCCGTAAAAATCCGTTCCTGGCAGATTGCCGGGCTGCCCATTGACTCTTTCTCCATTGACAATGGCATCATTGTGTCCAATTCCAGGCGTTGGGCCTTAATGATTGACCCCCAGGGGCAGGCCAATAAGTGGATTAAGAACATGGAGAAATCTAATAAGCTGTCTGTCATCAAATTCTCTGATGCCAACTATGTGAGGACGCTGGAAAATGCTCTGCAGTTTGGCACCCCTGTCTTACTTGAAAACGTTGGAGAAGAGCTGGATGCCTTTATTGAACCAATCTTGCTCAAGTCAACATTCAGGCAGCAAGGGGTTGAATATATGAGGCTGGGTGAAAATATCATCGAATACTCCAAGGATTTTAAGTTATACATCACAACCCGTTTGAGGAACCCACATTACCTCCCTGAAATTGCCGTGAAAGTCTGTCTCCTTAACTTCATGATCACACCCTTGGGTCTCCAAGATCAACTCCTTGGCATTGTGGCTGCCAAGGAGAAGCCAGAACTGGAAGAGAAAAAGAACAAGTTGATTGTGGAAAGTGCCCAGAACAAGAGACAGCTGAAGGAAATTGAAGATAAAATCTTGGAGGTCCTCTCCATGTCTGAGGGCAACATCCTTGAGGATGAAACTGCCATCAAAGTTTTGTCTTCCTCTAAAGTGCTGTCTGAAGAAATATCCGAGAAACAGGAAATTGCTTCTGTCACAGAAACACAGATCGACGAGACCCGGATGGGCTATAAGCCAGTGGCTATTCATTCTGCCACCATCTTCTTCTGTATCTCTGACCTGGCCAACATTGAGCCAATGTACCAGTACTCCCTGACATGGTTCATCAACCTGTATGTTCAATCCCTGGCTAATAGCAAGAAAAGTGATGAGCTGGACCTACGTATCGAATATATCATTGAACACTTCACCCTGAGCATTTACAACAACGTTTGCCGCTCTCTTTTTGAGAAGGACAAGCTGCTCTTCTCCCTCCTCCTGACCATCGGCATCATGAAAGAGAAAAAGCAAATTAATGAAGAAAGTTGGTACTTCCTTCTCACTGGAGGTGTTGCGCTGGATAACCCCTTCCCCAACCCAGTTCCTGAATGGTTGTCTGAGAAGGCGTGGTCGGAAGTTGTCCGGGCATCCTCATTACCCAAACTGAAAGGCCTAATGGAACATTTTGGACAAAATGTTGAGGAATGGAAGTTTATCTATGACTCAGCCTGGCCCCACATGGAGAAATTTCCTGGACAATGGGAGTTCATTCAAGGGCTGGAGAGGATGGTGATCCTCCGATGTTTGCGGCCTGACAAAATTATTCCAGCTGTTCGGGAGTTCATTGCTGAACACATGGGAAAGGTGTATGTAGAACCTCCTACATTTGATCTCCAGGGCTCCTACAATGATTCCAGTTGCTGTGCACCGCTGATTTTTGTGTTGTCTCCAGGGGCAGACCCAATGGCAGGTAAGGACAGAACGTTCTAAAAGGATGGAACATGGAAAGCTTGGGTTGAGTGGATGGATGACCATAGCATAGTCTGACAGCAGGGATCTCAAACTCAAGTGGCTTAGATGACCAAGCCAGTGGATGGCTAAGATGCAGCTGGGCAAATGAAAATTTAACATTTTCTGGCTAAAGAGGGCAGCTGCTTCTCAGCTCTGACAAACTGTGGTAATGTGGCAGTGTGAGCCCAGGATGACCAGATCATCTGATCTTTCCAGAGAAACCAGAAATCCTCCCCTTTTAAATCTCAATTACTCCTTCAGATGTCTTCTTTACAATCTTGTGAGGCCCAAGCCAGGGGCCAGGTTCAGCCTGCTGGCTGCCAATTTGTCACCTTTGTCTTAGACTGTTTTCTCTGACTGTGGCTTCTCTCATCAGAGCTTATTCCTTGTCTTAAAAAAAAAAAAAATATATATATAATTAATACTGCATGTGCCAAAGGCATTTGACTCCTAACCAGAAGGCTGGCAGTTCAAACCCACCAGCCACTCCTCGAAAGGAAGATTGGGCCATCTACTTCCGTAGAAATACTGCCTTGGGAACCCAAGGAGGGTTTGCTATGAGTTGGGACCAACTCAACGGCAGTGAGTTTGGATTTTTTTGTTTGGTGGTTAAAAAAAAGACCAAATAATGCCAAAAGGTAAAGTACAGGGGTTTACTCTGAATGTAGTTCAAACAGGACAGGCATAATAGATGCTTGATTCTTCCTCTTCTTCTTTCAGCTTTCAGAATAATTAAGTGGTGCCCTAGTAAACTCCAAAGTGAACCAATAAATATTTTTGTACTATTGTGAATTAATGTGTTTTTAACATATTTGGTGTTTCAAATATGGTGGTGTTTTACTTCACTGTGGTCATTATACTTTTTGATGCTCAAATAATTCAGTCTTTGGCCTCTGGGAGCCCCTTCATGCCTGAGTTCTTTTCACATAACACCAATAGTTTTTGACAGCTTCCTTGCTTTCTAGAGCTACCAAAGATTACAGATCCATCTTGTACATTTCCTGCTCTAGATCTGGAAACAGCCATTTCTCCAAGGAACCCTGCTTCTTTTAGCAAGCAATGGCATTTGGAAACCACAACCTGGGTTCTAGTGGTACTCATTGCTACTGGGTACATCATTGCTTTTAGGCCTTATTGCCTGCTAGTTCTCCCTTTGCCTGTATTTAAGCTGCTGTTTTAGTCAACATTTTACCTTCTTACCTTCAGTGACTATGATTTCCGTTTCTAGTTTAATTTGTTTTGTTCCATATCGAAGCAATATCCTTTTTATTTTTTCATAAAATTCTGAACTTTTATTATGTTTTGTGTTCCTTCTTTAATGATTTTAGATATGCTTCTTTTATGATCTCTCAGAGATTGTAATGCCTTGGGGTGTTATTATGATGTTTTCTGTGCTGACTATCTCTTACGTTGTTGTTGTTGTTATATGCCGTCGAGTCGGCCCTGACTCATAGCGACCCCTCCTTGGGTTTCCGAGGCAGTATCACTACAGAAGTAGGATTGCCCAACCTTCCTTCCGAGGAGTGGCTGGTGGGTTTGAACCGCCAGCCTTCTGTTTAGCAGTCAAGTGCCTTAGGCACTATGCTACCAGAGCTACTCTTATAGTGATGTATTTCCTCATGTAGTTTGTAAGTTTTTATTGTGAGTTCACCATCAGCAACCTTATGTTATGTTGTGGGAGTCTCATATACCTTGGGTTTTAGACGAGTCTCAACATGCAATGGTGCCCAAGAGGGTTTTCCCTTCTAGAGCAATTTTATGGGAAATTTCTTAGCTTGGGAATCCCATATGACAGGGTAGTATAAATTCACACCCCTCATCTTCATGTGGGATAGGCTTCATGTTTTGATTTCTTACTGGAGAGTTGCTATTATTTATTTTTTCCACCCAGGCTCTAGGCCAGTGAAAAGCTCCCATGTTGCCTCCCAGAGTCAGTAGACAGATTTTTGCCTACTAAACATGAACATGTTTAGTATCCTAACTTTACACAAAAATCTCAACTCCAGTTCCCTACCTCTTATGGCTGCAAAGTTATGTTTCCCATGAGCATTAAAACACTAACCTCTAGACTAGTGTGATATTTTCCTGTGGTGAAATATTATGCAGCCATGAAAAAGATAAGACTTTGTTATAGGTATGGATGTGGACAGATAAATAAGATATACTGTTAAGTGAAGAAAGTATTCTACAGTAAATTTTTATCACAGTATGTGCACATTTGTTTAAATACATAAAATATGTCTGGAAGGATTCACAAAAAGCTGGTAACATTGGCTGCCTCTGGGGAAGACAACAGGATGGTCAAGGGAAGTGAAAAAGGCTTTCTTTTCATTGTACAAATGCCTATATTTCCTAGTAAAATAAATTTGTAAAAACTCAGTTCCTAGTTCTTTGGTTGTGTGCTCACCTTTCTGCATTTGAACTCTCTCTTCATTTTTGGCACCTGGAGATTTCTCATTCTTTCAAACCAGATTTTCTTTTAGGTGGTGTGCTTTTATTATTATTATTATTAAGAATGTCTTATGTCTTTGGAGTTGATCGTAGCTTAGGACACTATATTACCAGAAATTACAGCTTTCCCAAAGAAATGTTTATTTTGTTATTAATAAAAGCCAATGAGTTTATTCCTGAGTCCAGAATTTTAATGTAGCCTCTCCTTTTTTTTTTTTTTAAATGGGGAACTCAAAAGAAAGACCTAATTTTGCAAAGTTTCCACTGACTAATAAGAGTACAATGCTAAAGACAGACAGTAGCCACTTACAATCTGAATAAAGGTATAGAGCAGTATTGTTAACTCTTTAATTCTATACCTTTTGTAAATCCTTGGGGCAAATTACTTTTTATTCTGTTTCCTTAGTGATTTGCAATAGAAACAAAGTATATATTTATATAAATTTGGTTTTTGGTGATAGCAAGATACTGAGAAGACGTGAAGAACTGATTTCCCCCAAACAATCTTGAGGTGAACAGATTCTAACAGGGAGAGTGGGTAGAGACAGTAACTAAGAGAAGATCGCTGGTGCCTGGGCCATTGGCTCTGCCTCAGTAAAGGAAAAGAGAGCACCAGGGGTGGCTTGGGCCTATTTAGTATCATTTAGGTGCCAGCTATCATTCTAAGAGCAAACATGAAGATCAAGGTTCTGCCTTGGAGAAGCTTGCCACCTGTTTGGGAGAGGACACTCTGGGGCTTAACTACTCTTCTCAGATCTCTCATAGTCCGTCCTTTTATGTAGCTATTGTTAATGTGGTCTTAATGGCCTGTCTTCTTTTAAAAGTCCCTTTTCTTCCTGGTCTTAGGCTTGCTGAAGTTTGCTGATGATCTTGGCATGGGAGGTGCCAAAACCCAGACCATCTCCCTTGGCCAAGGCCAAGGACCTATTGCTGCCAAAATGATCAACACTGCCATCAAAGATGGAACATGGGTGATCTTACAGAACTGCCACCTGGCCACAAGCTGGATGCCTGCGCTGGAGAAGATCTGTGAGGAGGTGATCATTCCTGAGAGCACCAACATGCAATTCAGGTCAGACACTGCCTCAGTCTAGATGTTATGCTGATGACGGGGAGTACAAAGATGAACAAGGCATGGTTCCTGCCCCTAAGGGCTTAGTCTGTTCTTACCTACAGCCAACTCCCCTAAGGGAGTGAGTTGTTAGACCTGTGGGCTCAAGACCAGAGTTGCGGAAGACGTCAAGCTCAGTGGGCATTAACATGTTACACAAGAACATTGTTCTACATCCTACTTTGGTCAGCAAATGGGGTCTTAAAAGCTTGCAAGCGGTCATCTAGATGCATCAAGTGGTCTCTCCTCATTCAGAGCAAAGAAGAATGAAGAAAACTAAAGAAAGACACATGGAAACAGTTAGTCCAAGGGACTAGTGACCATGCAAACCTCAGCCTATGTGACCATGAGACCAGAAGAACTAGATAATGCCAGGCTACCACTGTCAACCACTTGGAAAGGGATCAGCGTAGGATATCCTGGATAGAGTGGGAGAATAACGTTGAACAAAACTCAAAATCATTAAAGAAAAAAAAAAAAAAGACCACGTTTACTGGTCTGGTAGAGGCTGGTGAAACCCCCAAGACTATGGCCCCTAGTTTTCAGGCTTGGAATTGAACTCACTCCTGTGGCTTCCAGCCAAACAATAGACAGGCATATGGGGTGAACATTTACATCCAGTAGATACACTCTTTGGAGCAATCAATCATGGGAGAACAGAAGAGCAGTGTTTGTACAGGGAGATAGCTCTGGGGCAGGAATGCATAGGAAAGGATATAGGGAAGAGGTAACTACAGGGAGGAAATGGGAAGAGAGCTGTTACATTATGGGGATTGCAGTCAATGTCATTTTTTAAAAAATGCTAATGAACTGTTGTATGGAAAATGAATTTGCTCTGTAAACTTTCACCCAAACCACAATAAAGAGAAGTGCTCAGTCTAGCAGTAGGCAGCCCATAGATTAACACTTGACACCATGTAATACCTGCTATACTCATAGTCTGAACAAGAACCAAGGAGCACAGGAAAGGGGGAGTATGGAACTGGGGAAGGCCTAGAGACCTGACAATTGTCTGGAGTATGGAAAACTGAATAGGAGTTTGCCAAGAAGGACATTCCAGACAGAACAGATAGAATTTGCAAAAGCTAAGAGCTGTATTAAGAGAATAATAAGAAGTTCTCTTATGATTCTGAGGTGTATACTGTGTGAAATTGTGGGGGGGGGGGTAGAGGTGATGTGGAAAAAGGTAGATTAAATGTCAGCAAATCCAATTTTTAAAATATTTGTCAAAAAGAATTCTACTTGTAGCCACTTTTTTTTTTCCTTCTTTACTTTGTATTTCTTTGGGCTCCATGGAGTTTTAATCAGCATTGAAAATAGCTTTTGGTTTTTTGTGAACTCTAAAGCCCAGCAAGGAGCTCTGGTAGCATAGTGTCTAAGGCACTTAACTGCTAACCAGAAGGCTGGTGGTTCAAACCCACCAGCCACTCCTCGGAAGGAAGATGGGCAATCTACTTCCGTAGTGATATTGCCTCGGAAACCCAAGGAGGGGTTGCTATGAGTCGGGTCCGACTCCAGGGCATATAACAACAACAACAACAACAAAGCCCAGCAAGCCTGGGCCTTGTTTTTTGTGTTCACAGGAGGAAGTGAACCCAATTGACTTTAAAGCCTCTTTCAACTCACACATTCAGTGATTCTCGTTCTAGGCTGGAGTCAGCAAACACTACCCCACAGGCCAAAGCTAGCTTGTTGTCGGCTTTTGTACAGCTCATGAGCTATAAATCATTTTTACATTTTTAAGTGGTTGAAAAATATCAACCATTATGGTGTGGTAGTTAAGGTTGTGTGTCAACTTGGCTGGGCCTGGTTTTGAGTGGCTGGGCAGCTGGATATAGTTATTCCCCAGGATGAGACTGGTAATTAGCTCCATGGTGGAATCTACTGGAGCAGCTGAGTAGCTGCCTTAGGGATGTGGGCTGCCTCCTGTGTGTAAGAAGATACTTTGAGAAAGGTCTCTGAGCTTTTTGGCATGCTTGGACCCTACATATAGCCAAGTCTCCATTCAGCAGCCTGCCGTGTTTCCTACTGATCTCGGGACTTGAACTTGTGGCCTGCCATGTTGTTGGTAATATTGGAACTGTGCCATTTATTTGTCGACCTTGGGTTTGTCAGCCTCAATAGTCAGCAGCTGCCTGAGTGAAGAGACGCCTCCAGCTCCAGTGGGCCTGGAGCAAGAGGCAGAGCTGAAGCGCCAAGTCAAGGGGCTTTCACCACAGTCACTGTACAGAACACTGCAGAATAGCCCATAGGATTTCCAAGGCTGTAATCTTTACGGAGGAGCTCTGGTGGCGTAATGCCTAAGGCATTTGACTGCTAACCAGAAGTGTGGCAGTTCAAACCCACCTGCCACTCCAGGCAATCTACTTCTGTTAGAGATATTGCCTTGGAAACCAAAGGAGGGGTTGCTATGAGTCAAATCGACTCAACAGCAGTGAGTCAACTGAGTCACTGGTTTGGTTTTGGTTTTTCAAGAGTTAGCAACTACTTCAAAAATATTTACAACTTTGGATGGATTCTCATCATGTGGACCAAGCGTCACCTGTCTGCAGGCTGAAGTGGAGCTTCAGGCCTCCAGTCTGTGCCCGCCATTCCCCGCCAGCTCAGGCCTGGGCTTGGACCACACCACGCTGCCCACCGAGCCTCACCTCATGTCTGGCCTCCGCCATGCAATTGTCCATCAGCCTATGCTCTCTAACGACCTCCCGCCTCCAACTACCTGCTGAAAGCATCTCTAACACCAAGCAAAAAAGCAAGATGTCAAGTGTGTATAACTTGAGCTCCGGTATGAAAAAGTAAATGAATAAAAGCCTGTAAGCTGATGTGCCAAAGTTAACCTCAAGGTGATAAAGGTATAATTGTCATTTCTTTCCAAATACTGTTACACATGTTTCCATTTTTTTGGTGGGCACAGATAAACTTTTTTTTAAAAAAAAACAAAGAAGTTCCTACTGGTCTAATGGAGACTGGTGAACTCCTGAGACTTTATGGCTCCAAGTCACCCTTCCAGCCTGGAATTGGATTCACTCCTGTGTCTTAACTCTCAGCCAAACAATAGACAGGCCTGTGAGTGGAACAACTACACCAGTGAGATGCACTCCTTGGAAAAGGCAACCAAGGGAAATCAGGAGGGCAGCATTTGCATGGGGAGAAAGCTAGGCAGGGAGGAATGCATAGGTAGGTGACAAGGACACACAGAAGGGTAACCACAGGGATGAGGTGGGAGGAGAGTTGTTACATTGTGGGAATTGTAAGCAGTGTCACCAAACAAAACGTGTGTGAACTATTGAGTGTAAAACGAATGTGCTTTGTAAAATTGTACCCAAATCACAATAAAAAGTTAATAAGCAAATAAATAACTCCTCCATGTTCTTCAAGGCCTATTTCAAATGCTATTTTATCTGTGACAAAGGTTGGCAAACTTTTGTTATGAAGGGCTATATAGTAAATATTTTCAGCTTTGCGTTCCATATGGTCTCTGTTGCAACTGCTGAGTTCTGCCTATATGTATGAAAGCAGCATAGACAATATGTAAATAAAGGGCATGGCCGTGTTCCAATAAAACTTTATTTATAAAAACAGGCAGTATGCTGCATTTGATGTGCCATAGTTTGCTGACTTCTGGTCTCTGATGTTTGTCTGGCTGCCTATAGCCCATGAAAAGCTCTTTTTTCTGTGGACTCCCACAGCCTGTTATTTTTCTTGTTCTTTTCAGTCTTGATTTTTCAATGTCTTGTACAGTCACATCCTGTCTGCTTTTCTCTCCTGGCTGGTGCCCCATTCACTCCCTCATTGTTGCTAGAAACAATGCTTTGCTCACTTGGGTCACTTACATGGTGCCTGATACAGTGACCCTATAGGACAAAGTAGAACTGCCCCATAGGGTATTCAGGGCTGTAAATCTTTATGGAAACAGACTACCTCATTTTTCTCCCACAAAGCAGCTGGTGGTTTTGAACTGCCCACCTTTTGGTTAGCAGCTGAATGCTTTGACCACTGCATCACCAGAGCTCCTACCCTGATAAGTGATTTACAATAAAAGCCCATGTATTTCTCAGAAAGTCCAGCAGGGGAGGCAGTGTGGTGTGGTAATTAAGAGCATTAGGTTTGGAGTCAGAGAGTGACAAGTTCATATCTTGGTTTTAGCTACTTCTAAGTTAAGAGTTCTTGAAAAAGCTCGCTTAACCTCTTAACACCAGCTGTAAAGGCAGCTGACTCCAATCACCCAAAGTTAGATCCAAAACTTCACACATTAAGAGGCAGTCTTCCATACTGCCAGTCACCCCAAAATTTCAGACACCAGCCAGAATCTTAGGACACATGCACTTCTGACCAACTGGCTACAAATTCAGGAGTTCCCACTACCCCTTTGGGTCCAATAATTTGGTAGAACAATTCACAGAACTCAGGTTGTTGTTGTTGTTGTTGTTATGTGCTGTCGAGTCGGACCCGACTCATAGAGACCCCTCCTTGGGTTTCCAAGGCAGTATCACTACAGAAGATTGCCCAACCTTCCTTTCGAGGAGTGGCTGGTGGGTTTGAACCACCAGGCTTCTGATTAGCAGTCAAGTGCTTTAGGCACTACGCTACCAGAGCTCCTAGAACTCAGGTTACTTATGATTATAGTTTTATTACCACACAAAAAGATATATAAGTTCATCCAACTCACAATAGAAATTTAAAAAAGGAAAAAAAGGATACAAAAGAAGAGATGCATAGGACAAAGTCTGGGAGGATCCCCAAAGTGAAGCTTCCAAGTCCTAAGGGACATGTTACCCTCCCAGTGCATTGATGTCCATCACCAACCAGGAAGCTCACTTGAGCTTCAGTGTCCAAAGCTTTTATTAAGGTTTCATTATATAGATATGATTGATTACATCAATGCCCACATGGTTAAACTCAATCCCCAGCCCTCCCCTCCCTAAAGGTCAGGCTGATATCATGTGGTATTTTGTGGCATGGCCAGTCCCCACCCAGCATGAGTCACTGCACTAGTGTAACCTATCAGGTGTGGTCAAAAACCTTTCATGTCACTGGTCTGACAAAGCCTGATGAGACCCTGAGATTATGGCCCTAGTTACCCTTCAGGTCTGGAACTGAACTCACTCCTGTGGTTTCCAGCCAAACAATAGGCAGGTGTATATGGTGAACATTTACACCAGGTAGATAGACTCCTTAGAGCAATCAGTTGTGGGAGGACAGAAGGGCAGTATTTGCACAGGAAGATAGCTCAAAGTGCAGGAGTGCATAGGAAAGAAGGATACAGGGAAGAGGTAACTACAGGGAGGAAATGGGAGGAGAACTGTTACATTGTAGGGAACTGCAGGTAAATGTCATGAAACAAAATGTGTATGAACTGCTGTATGGAAAATGAATTTGCTCTGTAAACTTTCACCCAAATTACAATAAAAGTTAAAAAAAAAAAAAAAACACCTTCCATGATTGACAAAGGTATTTCAATCATTCAAGAAATCCTAGGGATCTAGTTATCTGCCAGGATGAAAGAAAAAAGATTAATTTCCTTAGGTAAAGTAATTTTTCACCCCATACTTCTCTATGCATCTCCATGCCTGTTTCCTCTTTTGTAAACCTACCTACCTGTTGCCAACGAGTTGATTCCTACTCATAGTGACCCTATAGCACAGAGTGTAACTGGCCCATAGGATTTCTGAGATTGTAATCTTCCCACACACACACCCATGCATGCAGTCTAATTGCATGTGTGCACATGTGGGATACCTATTTTATTTATTTATTTTTAACTTTTGATTGTGATCTGGGTGAAATTTTACAGAGCTGATTCATTTCACATTCAACAGTTCATACACGTTTTGTGAAATGTAACATCTCACCTCCCACTTCCTCCCTGTGGTTACCCTTTCCCTGTGTCCTTTTTGCCTATGCATTCGTGCATCCCTACATTTCTTTAAGATTGTAATCTTTACAGAAGTGGATGGCCACACCTTTGGTCACATCTTGGAGCGGCTGGTGGGTTAGAACTATAGACTTTTTGGTTAGCAGATGATTGCTTAATTACTGCACCACCAGGGCTCCTTTCTTTTGTAAAAGGAGATAATAATACCCTTCTCATAGATGAATAAGAACATGGCATCAGTTTTGGAGGAAGAACTATTAACAACCTGTGATATGCAGGTGACACAACCTTGCTTGCTGAAAGTGAAGATGACTTGAAGCACTTACTGATGAAAATCAAAGAGTACAGTATGGATTTACACCTCAACATAAAGAAAACAAAAATCCTCACAACTGGACCAATAAACAACATCATGATAAACAGAGAAAAGATTGAAGTTGTCAGGGATTTTATTTTCCTTGGATACACAGTCAACACCTATGGAAGTAGCAGTCAAGATATCAGATGTCATACTGCACTGGGAAAATCTGCTGCAAAAGACCTTTTAAAGTGTTAAGAAGCAAAGATTTTGAAAACTAAAGTGTGCCTGACCCAAGCCATGGTGTTTTCAGTCTCCTCATACACATGTGAACGCTGGACAATGAATAAGGAAGACCAAAGAAGAGTTGATGCTTTTGAGTTGTGGTGTTGGCCAAGAATACTGAAAATACCATGGACTGCCCAAAGAACGAACAAATCCGTCCTGGAAGAAGTGCAGCAGGAATGCTTCTTGAAAGCGAGAATGGCCAGACTTTGTCTCACCTACTTTGGTCATGTTATTAGAAGGGACCATTCCCTGGAGAAGGATTTCATGCTTGGTAAAGTGGAGGGTCAGAGAAAAAGGTAAGACTCTCAGTGAGATGGACTGACACAGTGGCTGCAACAATGGGCTCAAGCCTAGCAAGGATTGTGAGCATGGTGCAGGTCAGGGCAGTTCTTTCTGTAGTACACAGAGTCACTATGAGTCAGAACCTACTCAATGGCACCTAACAACGACAACAACTAGAGGGAGGGGAGGATTAAAGCAAATGAAAGGACATACGTTCAGATTTGACATCTAGAGTGCTTAATATTAACTGCAGCTATTACTTCTTTTATTGTTTTTTCAATGTCACTTTATAGCTCTAAATAGTTGGATCTGTTGTTCTTCCAGACTCTGGCTAACGAGCTATCCATCAGAGAAGTTTCCGGTCAGCATTCTCCAGAATGGGATCAAAATGACCAATGAGCCCCCCAAAGGGCTCCGGGCCAACCTTTTGCGCTCCTACCTCAATGATCCTATCTCAGACCCTGTGTTCTTCCAAAGCTGTGCAAAACCAATAATGTGGCAAAAGCTTTTGTTTGGCCTTTGCTTCTTCCATGCCATCGTTCAAGAGAGGAGAAACTTTGGACCCCTAGGTAAGCAATGAAAGCTCACCTGAATTCCCTATAGGGGAGATCACAGAGGGCTGAAGGTGTCTCTCCATGTATGTGTTCAAATTGGCACTCAGGTAGGATTGCCTGTAAAATACAGTGTTAAGTATGCCCCATGTAATACCTGAGACATACTTATATTAAAAATTATTTATCTGACATTGAAATTTAACTGTCTGTCCTGTATTTTATTTGCTAAATCTGACAGTCCTGTAACAGGTCAATGTCAATGTCAGAGAAAGAACTGATGTTCCAAAACTGAAGATCCCCTCATTAAAGTAAAGTGATAAAGAGAGGATGGGGGTGGGGGCTTCCCTTGGCCTATTGTATATACCTATCTCAGGAGCTCTGGTGGCGTAGTGCCTAAGGCATTTGACTTCTAACCAGAAGACTAGCAGTTCAAACCCTTCAGACATTCCTTGGAAGGAAGACTGGGCAATCTACTTCCGTAGTGATACCACCTCGAAAACCCAGGGAGGGGTTGCGATGAGTAAGATGCAACTTGATGGTAGTGAGTTTGGTTTGGTTTGGTTAGGCACTGTGACTATTCTCCAGGGAGTTGTCACCAGGTAATTTATAACATTTTAAGTAGCTTTCTCTACATGAGCATAACAATGGAAGGAAGATATACCACCCCTGGAACATTCGTCTGTGTTCTTCTTGAAAAAATTTAAATACATTTCTTTATTAACATAATATTCATGGTCTAACTTACTAGGAACTGAATAAACTTGTTAGAGCAGATCTTTAAACTGCTAAATACAAAGCCCATGTCATCCGGGTTTTAAGGTGACGTTATCTTCCTCTCACCCACAGGCTGTCTGCTGATTCTTTTCATAGCCTTGAAATGACCCACCTCCAGGTGTTCTCAGCTGTTCTTTTGGGTTAGGTAGGGAGGCCAGTTGTCATCTTGGTGATTGGCTCTGAGCATCCTCTCCTTTCTCTCTGCCTCAAGTGCCCTAGCCCCAGTTAGCTCCAGAGACCACCTGACTCTTTTCACTGAGGTTTGGGAGGATGAGACAGCCAAATATGATAGTCCTTCAGCCTTTGCATTTCATACATCACTGTCTCCCACCATCACCACTCTTCTCTGCATGGCAGACCCGAAATTCAACTCTCTAAGAGTATGACTTGTAGCCCACTGACCATTGTGTTTTATTTTGCCAGCACTCAGATGTTATTGATTATTTTAATTTGAATGTGAATGTCTAGGAGGAAAAGAACTACTTCACAGAGCACAGTTCCTACCATACCTACTGTCTTTCATCAGGCCTGGCTTACCATTTGTGTCACTTGTCTGGACCCAGGGGGCATTCAACATTTTATCCTTAGAATTACCAGTTGCCATCAAGTCAGTTCTGACTCATGATGACACCATGTGTGCAAAGTCGAACTGTGTTCCACAGGGTTTTCAAGGCTGTGAGCTTTCAAAGCAGGTCACCAGGACTTTCTCCCAGGGTGCCTGAGGATGGTTTGAACTGCCAACCTTTTGGCTAGTAGTTGAGTGCTCAGCTGGTTGCACCACCCTTGAAAATTGTTGCTGTTGTGAATGCCATTGAGTCAATTCTAATTCATGGCAATCCCATGAATGCAGAGTAGAACTAGTCCATGAGGTTGTCAAGGCTATGAGCTTTCGGAAACAGATCACCAGGCCTATCTCCCTAGCACCTCTGGGTAAGTTCAAACCTCTCACCTTCAGGCTAATAGTCAAGCATATAACAGTTTGTGCCACCGAGGCAACGATTAGCCTTGGAAATAGAAGCCACAGTTTCTTCAAGACTGGCCACCCAGTTCTCCCATAAGCTTCAGGAGGGGAATTCTCAATGCTAACTTAGTTCAGTTGCCCAGCTCTAAACACAGCTCTAGAGCTCTGCGTCCATGGTATTTTTGAAGTTACCACACAGTATTCCAGCCAGGGTGAATTATTCTCACTCTACAAATCCCAGGATGTTAACATCTTTCTTAACAAATGGCAAGACCCATAAGGAAATTGATTTAGAATGGATGTTTTTGTGAATGGAATGGCTTTCACATTGGCAGTAAATGTCAAGGCTAATACTTAGCCCTGTGCTTGATATTCATGGGCTGAATGAGGCTCTTGATCCCTAATGATGCTTAACTCCACTGGCTTGATCTCTGAGTGGAAATTAAGAGCTCTTGGCACTGAAGCCTCCACTTCTTCTCTGCCTCGTGCAGGTTGGAATATTCCATATGAGTTCAACGAATCTGACCTGAGGATTAGTATGCGGCAGACCCAGATGTTTCTGAATGAATACAAGGAGGTACCATTTGAAGCTCTGATCTACCTGACAGGTAACCCTCCAATATCATGCTCCATCCTCCTTCTTCTCTACTCTGTTCTTCATCCATTCATTTACTCTTTCATTCAACAAACATTGGGCTTTTACTAAGTACTGGTCACTACACTAAGGAGCTCTGTGCCTAAGACATTTGACTGCTAACCAGAAGGTTGGCAGTTCAAACCTACCAGCTGCTCTGTGGAAGGAAGATGGAGCGATCTACTTCTGTAAAGATTTACTGCCTTGAAAACCCAGTGGAGGTCTCTATGAGTTGGAATAGCTCTATGGTAGTGTTTTGTTTTTGTTTGATCTCCACACTGGAGATTGTGAAAATCCAAGGTGGCTTCAGACCATAGGATGAGTGCATAATTGCTCTGGGATCTAGTCTAAGCTGAGGACTGCCCACAGGTTATAAACTAACCTGCTCCAACTGGTTTGGATAGGCTTTTGAGGCTGAGGTGACATCAAAACCAAACCTGCTGCCATCAAATCTGTTTTGACTCATATGAACCCTGTAGGACAGAAAACTGCCCCATAGGGTTTCTAAGGCTGTAATCTTTATGGAAGGAGCTCTGATGGCCTAGTGCCTAAGGCATTTGACTGCTAACCAGAAGGCTGGTGGTTCAAACCCACCAGCCACTCATCTGAAGGAAGATTGGGCAATCTACTTCCATAGTGATACCGCCTCAGAAACCCAAGGACGGGTCACTATGAGTTGGATCCAACTCGACAGAAGTGAGTTTTTTTTAGTTAGTTTAATCTTTATGGAAGAAGACTGCCTTATCTTTCTCCTGCAGAGCAGCTGGTGGGTTTGAAATTCCAATCTTTTGGTTAAAAGCCGAGCACTTAAGCAATGTGCCACCAGGCTCCTTCCTGAAGTAATTAATAAACACTCCGTAAAATTCAAAGGCTTAAGACATCAAAGTCAATTTGTTGCCCATGCTGCATGTCCAGTGTGAATTGGCAGGAGTCTCTGATCATTGTCATTATCTCTCGAGGACACAGTGGACAAAGACTCCAACAACTTTTGATGTCACCATCTGTGGTAGGTAAATCTGCATGTCAACTTGGCTGGGCCTGATTGAGTGGCTGGGCAGCTGGTGGCAGTTATTCCCCATGATGAGACTGGCAATCAACTCCATTGTAGGAGTTGCTGCCTTGGGGATGTGGTCTGCTTCCTGTATATACAGAGAGGCCTTGGGGAATGGTCTCTACCTTATGGCATGCTTGGACCCTGCATGTAGCCGAGTCACTGTTCAGCAGCCTGCCGTGCTCTGCAAACCTTGGGACTTAAAATGGACTTGAATTAATGGCCTGCCATGTGGTTTGGTGACATCAGGACTGTGCCTTTTTACTTGTCAACCTTGGGTTTGTCAGTCTCAGCAGTGAGCAGCTGTCTGAGTGAAGAAAAGCCTCTAGCTTCAGTGGGCTGGGAGCTGGAAGCAGAGCTGAAGCCCAAGGCTAAGGGACTTTCACCCAGCCCCTAGGGCCTGGCACTTTGAACTTAGACTTAAAGCCTCCAAACTGTAAGAGAATAAATTCATGTTTGTTAAACCCATCCCATTTGTGGTATATTCTTGTCAGAGCAGCACTAGGTAACCAAAACACCATCTTAACATGTTTGGGTAGTCCCTGCTGTAGGGTAGCACTGAGGGCCTCACACTGGCAAGAGCTTGTCACTTGGCCCCACCCCACTGTAAGGGACCCAAAGAAGTGTAATCTTCCTATATGCCTTCCTTCCTATGGAAGGAAGGAGAACCAGATATAGGTGACAATTAGAATTCTCTACAACACTCACTGAGGAGACAGACCTAGTTTACAAATGTGTGGTTATCAAGTCAGATGGGCTGAAGTCAATACATTCTTAATCTGATACCCAGCCCTGTGGTAGGGAGAATTCAGAAGAGGCATAAGGCACAGCTTCACCCTTCTAAAAACCTGTGCTCTTGCTACAAAGAGTGGACGTGTATGTAGCTATTAAGAGATGCATCTTCCTTCATAAACATAAAATCCAGTGCCTGTGAGGGTTTCCCTTGAAAGAACATCTGCTGGTGAGGGAGTGGTGGCAGGACCTTGGGCTCTGATTCTGTGCCTGCATTTTACCTTCACTTGAGGTTCCTCTTTGGTGCCCTCTAACACTGCCTTGCTGGCCTGGGGGGTAGGGAACACTCCCCTCTTAATACTGTAGTGCATTGCTATCGTAACTCTCTTCAGAGCTGAGATAAGTTATAATGTTCAAACTGAACTTTGCTAATGGCCTGAAGTCAACAGAGGAGCTTCACGATCTTGATGGTCTGTTCAAGCTACTCAAGATGAGATTCCTCTTGGTCTCTTACCTCTCCTCTAACTAGCCACTAGGATTCTTCTCCAAGACATTAAGATGCTTCCAAGTCAAGACCAAAAGAAGTTCACCAAGTCAATCATGCTTTCTGTGTCCTATCTCAGACCTGCCTCTTCCTGGAATGATTGAGAATGAGCCCACCCTTCAGGGACTCCCATACAGTGGGATCTTGTCCCTGCAAGATACCAAATACTAGGTGGCACATACATTATGTAAGTGCAGTGGAACACACCTGTGGAGTCTGGGCCAGCTGGAAAATGCTTCGTGGGGTTAGAGCGCTTGATTTGATGTCCTGTCCAAAAAATTCCCTAATCTGAGTGTAGAAACCTTAGTCTCAGAGAATGATGTTAATAATGGAGGGGGAGGGAGGGAGAGAAGGCACATCCCAAAGCAGTATATATAGGGAATCTGAATTCTATAAAAGATATGCATTTGTAATAGCTGTATTGAACTGAATACTTGCTATATGTAAGCATTGTGTTAAATGCTTTCTAAGCATTATCTCATTTAATCTTAACCACAACCTTGTAAAATAAGTGCTACAATATCTTCACTTCTTTTTTTCTTTCTTTTTTTTTTTTTAAAATATTCATTTCTTGATGGATGAGAAACTGCTATTAAGTGGCAGGGCTGGAATTAGAACCTAGGACTGTCTCATGCCATAGTCTTTGCCCTGAACCCAAATTTAACATTGTAAATACAGAAAAAAATGTCTGAAAGATGCTTAAATATAGTTCTCTCTGTCTGGTAGAATTACTGGCAACTGTATTCTTTTTTCTTTTGGCTTATCCCTATATTCTAATTTCTAAGATGGTGAGGATGTATTATTTTGTAGCAACCATAATCCCAAAAGAGCCTACCCTCATCCCAAGCTGAGAATGGTGTCAGCAACCCTGTGACCCAGAGATCTCCTTAGCTGGAGGCATTCCCTGTTTCAGGTTAAAGACCAAGTTCATTATGACCTTCCATGCACTCAACTTCTTACTCTGCTGGTTCTCCACAGGGGAATGTAATTATGGAGGCAGAGTAACTGATGACAAGGACAGGCGTCTCCTGCTGTCCCTTCTGTCCACGTTCTTCTGTAAGGAAATTGAACAAGACTATTACTCCCTCGCTCCTGGAGACACTTACTTCATCCCTGCCCATAGCACCTACCAGGTGAGGGGTGAGAAACATGCACTCCCTCTTTCCTCCAGCAGGAGCTTGGTAGTCTTAATAGAGCTGGGGCTACGGTGTAGCCAAGAAGTGCCAGTGGTAGCCTTGGGCCTCCTGGCTTTGGTCCGTAACTGACCTATAATATGTCAAAAAGCCTACAAGAGAGGCATTGTTAGTGTGTAATGAATGCTGAGTATTTGGTAGAGAGACATTTCTAAGATATGGGGTTCATCTGGGAGAGCAGAGAAGAATGGTTAAGACAAAGCTTTGGTGGTAGGTGGGCTGGAAATTGCTACTTGAAAACAAAGGTCCAGAAGGTGGCAAAAGGGAAGGGACAGAAGAAAACAAAAGAGGAAAACAAGAAATCTAGAGGAAGGATGAAAATAAGCTAACTTTTATTGAGTACCTGTTATGTACCAAGGCCTTACTCCTTTGTGATCTGTTTATCTTCCCGTTTACACATAAGTAGACCGGGATTGTCGAGGCATCAGATGACTAGCTCAGTGTTACGTAGTTAGTTTGTAATGGAGCTAGGGTCCAAACCCAGGTCTGTCTGACTCCAAAGCTAGGACTGCTCGGGGAGGTGGGATGAGGGGTGGGAAAGAAGATATTCAGCCCTGCCTGCCTTCATACTCACTCCCCAGAAAACTATATGGGGAAGAGCCTGGGATGCCTTCCCCTAGCCTGAATGGAAGGGAGAGTGTGTGGGGTGCTTGGGTCTGGTCCAGCCAAGCCCTGAATGATCTGTGAGACTCCAGGGAACCTGCATTTAGGTCAACTGAAGCTTTCCTTTCCAGTCCTACATCGACTATCTCAGGGGCCTCCCCATCACAGCCCACCCAGAAGTGTTCGGTCTTCATGAGAATGCCGACATCACCAAGGACAACCAGGAAACCAACCAACTATTTCAGGGGGTGCTTCTGACCCTCCCCAGGCAGTCAGCAGGGAGTGGCAAGTCCCCTCAGGTAACTGGGCTTGAGGCTAGAGACATAATTCAGTTTCCTGGCAGCTTTCCATCTCGTGAGTAGAGAGGATTGCCCGTGATGACCTAGAAGTGGTGTCCTGGCAGACCCCTGAGGAAGGGGTGAAGCTTTGTTCTGCTACTCAGTCTTTAAATACAGAGCTGAAATGGGAAGCGGAATCAAACTTAGCCTGTCATGGGGATGCCATGTGACTGGTGGAGCTCAGATATGGGGGGGGTGGCATCCAGGATTTAGAAGCTGAATGAGGGACAGAGCTGGTGGGGACACACCCTCCTGTTCATTTATCTTGATTGTTCAAAGGACAGGGGTGGGGATCTGAGGTCCTTTTTGCAGATTCAGACTCTGTTTCTAAAATTTCAGCTATTCCTCATGATATTTGCTAATCCACATACTCCTACGCCACATTTACAAAGTATTTTTAAAACTATGCTTCAAAATAGGTATTTATAAAAGAAACTGGACATCACTACCATAAATGGAGTAGTACCACTTGCACAAAGTCAAGAGCCACCTTGCTCCCTTGTTGTTAAAAGAACAAGATTAGCAAGGAAGGGTTAAGAAGCTTTAATTTAGGACCAATCTGAGACTTTTTCAGAGGAATGAAAGAGAAAGAAGGCCAAAACTTGAAAAGGGAAAAACTTTCTCACCATGTGATTGAACAGTATTTGTTCCACATCCTTGAACTACCTGAAATCATTTCCAGTACCTCTAGTGGAACCAGTCCACACTGTGTGAAACCCTGACCCAGTCCCGTGTCCTCAGTTAACAAACCAGAAGGAAACACCTTGGGAGAGGCAGTGAGTCATCGCTTCAAGGTTCATAAGATCAGAGGGACCACAGACCCAGAACTGCATCCCCTGACTCCCAGTACACCCCCATTCACCACCATCCTTCCTTTCCTGTCTCCACCTTCCAAGCTACACCAAGTTCAGCTCCTCTCAGCTTTGGATCTTACTTATTTGGTTTCCTGACTTGGTTTATAGTACCACAGATGTTAGTAGGAATGAAGGTAGAGCAGGCTGGACTGTCTCAATTTAGGGGTGGAGATTCCAGTCACAGTGGGAAGAGGGAAGGAAGCCCAGATCCAGAGAATTGCAGTTATCCCTCTCTCCCACACCCACATCCTACTCCTCCTCAGTCCTCCAGGCCTGTCTCCCTCCCTAATCTGTTGAGCTAACTGCCTTGGGCTTTTCTTGTTCAGTGCTGAGAAATAGCCTAGCATCTTGCCAGGTGTCACTGGGCACTGAGCAAGAGTCCCATCTACACCAGGAGCTGGGAAGTCTACGGGAGATTCCCACTGAGGTTGACCTGAATATAGAAAGAGTTCTGCAGGGTTTGTTGCTGCCTGAGGCTACCTGACTGAGCAGAAGGTCCCTGCCTAATGTTCAGGCTCTTGCTCCAAGTGTGAGGACAGGGCTCTCCTTGCTCAGGCTTTTCACCTTCTGAGCCAAGGGGTGATAAATTCTGCATGGCTGGTGAGGATGGTGGGTGTTCCCCCAACCCCCAACTCCCCCAGGTAGAATTCACTTCTGCACACTGAAAAGACAGATTTCACTACTTCAGCTTTACCCAGACAAAGCCACAGCCTTAGGGTGCTGTTTCTCAATCACCTCTTCACTGTCTGTACTTTAAGGAAGTGGTTGAGGAGCTGGCCCAGGACATACTCTCCAAGCTTCCCAAAGACTTTGACCTGGAAGTGGTCATGAAGTTGTACCCTGTGGTCTATGAAGAGTCCATGAACACCGTCCTGAGGCAAGAGCTCATCAGATTCAACAGGTGGGCTGCGTACTCTTGAGGGGCCAGATCTAACGGGGAGCATCTGAGGTGGACACTTGATATGAGATTACTGTGCTAGGAAGTGATTTGCCCCACCAAAAAGAAAGCTCTGGTGGTGCAGTGGTTAAAGCATCCGACTGCTAACCATGGTGGTTCAAACCCGTCAGCCGCTCTGCGGGAGGAGGGTGAGACGGTCTGCTTCCGTAAACATTTGTAGCCTTGGAAACCCTATGGGACAGTTCTGCTCTTTCGTGTAGGGTCCCTATGAGTTGAAATCTACTCGATGGCAGGCAGTATAAGGAGAGTTGTAAATAGGACTATCCCCAGCATGTATGGGCCGAGGGCTGAATCACTCCTATTCATTCTCACCCATCATTCGCAAGTCATCTGTAAAGTCAGGTTAGAACCAATACCAAGCACAGGCTAATTATAAAAACACTTGTTAGAGCTACTTTTACTGAGACCTTAGTGCCAGTTATGGTTCACTATACATGTTACCTCATTCAAACCTCACATAGGCTTTGAAATATGCACAGCTTAACCCTCCCTCCACCGCCATTTTACACACGATAAAACAGACCAAAAGGGTAAGTAACTTGCCCAGAGACACCCAGTCCTTCAGTCATGGAAGGGAATTTGAACCCAGGCAGTCTAATTCCATAGCCCATGCACTTAACCAATAAGTAAAATCAGGATAAACATAGAAAGAGGTGAGGAGAATTTCTTTTCATTGCCTCTGCCACAGAGATAGGGAAAGGTGTTCTGGGTTGACCGTGGAGCTAAGGGTCTTGAGCCTTCTATTCTAGCCTCTCCTCACTTCTTCCCCAGTTACTGCAGCACAGAACGCAGTGAGCTCCCCTTGATTTTATCCTAACTAGTCAAAACTAAAAGGGCTCCCAAGACCATCTTGTTCAGATGCAGAAACTGAGGCCCTAAGATGACAGTGGTTTAATTCAGGTCTCAAGTGATTGAGGGTTGGGGCCTAGACTAAAACTCGTCACTTCTGCCTCCTGGTCCAAATTCTTGCTGTTGCAGATAATCTGTGTATTGCTGTGTCCATTTTGCCTCATGGATTCATAGCTCAGTTTTAGGGACAGGCCTGGCTCTGAAGGACTGGGAAACTGGAGGAATGTTGTGAGAATTTCTTAGCTTCTCTAGTTTTGGGATTACTCTGTAGTCAATTGACAGTTGGAGCCATAGCCTGAACCAGAAGAAATAGATGGTGCTCAGGTATCACTGGGGACAATTTTGACCAAGGACACAATAGAAGGTCCCAGATAGAATGGGAAGAAAATGTAGGACAAAATTCAAATTCCTAAAAAAGGGGGCTAAAGGTACCAACTGATAGAGATTAGAGGAACCCCCAAGACTATCACCCTAAGAAACCTTTCGAACTTGGAACTGAAACTACTGCTGGAGGTCACCTTTCATCCAAATAATAGATTGCCTTATGAAATAAACAGTATCACCTGTGAATACTGTGTTCCCTTAAGTAATCATCTATATGAGACCAAATGATCATGCCTACCCTAACATAAAGGTGAGAAGGTAAGGGGGTACTGGAAAGCTAGATTAATGGAAACAGAATAAGCAGAATAGAAATAATGAGAATGTTGATACATTGTGAAGACTGTAACCAATTTCATGGAACAATTTGTATAAAAATCATTAATTTTTTTAACCTAATTTGCTGTGTAAAGTTTCACCTAAGACACAGTAAAATTTTATTTATTTATTTATAATAGACAGCTCTATGAGGAACCAAACAAGGTATGGGTGGGAGCCTATGACATGCCACCTGTGCTGAGAGTGAGTTACCGTGGCAAGATGTAGTTCTCCTTCATCCTGCCAGACCCCAGGCCCAATGACTTCCCTCCTCTGCTCCCCTGACTCCCCTAAGGCCAGAATCACTGGGGTGGCCCTTGAGTTCTTCTTTGGTGGTTGCAGGAGCCTCCATGAGCCTTTACCACGTGCCATTGTGCAGCAATCCTATTTGTCCATGGTAATCAGTATGAAAGGAGCCCTGGTAGCACAGTGGTAAAGCAATCAGCTCCTAACCGAAAGTTCTGTGGTTCTGAACCTACCAGCCGGCCCACAGGAGAAAGATGTGGCAGTCTGCTTCCCTAAAGATTACAGCCTTGGAAGCCCTATGGGGCAGTTCTACTCTGTCCAGTAGGGTCACTAAGATTCAGAATTGACTGATGGCAATGGTTTTTTTTTTTTTTTGGTTTAATCAGGACTAATTGCATCAGGCAGTACTGACATTCTTCCCCTCTACCTTTTTTTGATTCTTCACCCAGTTGTATGAGAAGTCCAGACTAATTATGTGGCATTTCAGCTTGCAATTCAGGGCAACCATTATTGTGTCTTCTAGGGCAAGTGTTCCTTCCCTTGGGTACTAAAACCTCTAAAAGAATAGAACTCTTAGTTTCAAGAATGGTATTGGGTGCTGTCAAGTTGATTTTGACTCATAGTAACCCTATGGGAGAGGGTAGAACAGCCCTGTAGGATTCTCTGTGCTGTCATCTTTATGGGAGCAGACTGCCACATCTTTCTCCCCTGGAGTGGCTGGTGGGTGGAAACTACTGACCTTTTGGTTGGCAGCCGAGCATTTAACATCATTGTGCCACCAGGGCTCCTTAGTTGCAAGAACAGAACGAAAAATTTGGCAAGTAGGTCTTTAGGTATAAGAGTTAAAGGCCTGAAGTTATAAACCCTTAGATGGTATGGGCCTAGCACATATACTAAATGTCTGAACCTTCAATTTAGTGGTTACACATCCAGGACTCCCTTTCATGGGTTTGATCACTCCATTTGGTTGAGATCCAATAAATTTTTGGAGATGACAAACTGTCTCTGCTGTTAGATTCTTTGGCACTCTCAGGTGAATTCCCTCTGGTCTTGGTGAGGCCTCAGAACACAGAGGCCACAGAGAGGGAAGTGAACTTGGCATCTCCTGGGCTTCCCTTCCGTTTTCTCAGGTAAGCACTTCATAGTCTATAAAAAGAACAACTTTTTGTTGAATTGGTGTATCTTTTGCTGTGTATGTTCTCAATAACAACAACAAAATAAATAAAATTGAGGAAAAAAAAAAAAAAAAAAATTTTGCAAAAAAAAAAAAAAAAAAAAAAAAAACACCTCACTGCCGTTGAATTGATTTGACTCACAATGACCCCTCCTAGGGTTTCCAAGGCGGTATCTCTACAGAAGTAGATTGCCCAGTCTTTCTTCTGAGGAGTGGCTGGTGGATTGAAGGCATTAAAATTGTGCATAGGGTTTAATTTGGACATTCTACGGTTAGTGTGAAAATAATTAGAAATTTGAACAAAGATTGATATGGATAGATGTTTCCTGCAATGTTGTTTGTAGTGACAGTAATCTAGAAGTAATATATTTCTAATAACAGGGGGAGAATTAAATAAAGTGTAACACATTGCAGTAACTAACAGGGATGATTCAGTTCCCTATTTATTGAATTAAAGAGCCCTGGTGATGTAGTGGTTAAGGCATTTGGCTGCTAACCAAGAGAGGTTGGTGGTTTGAACCCACCAGCCACTCAGTGGAGGAAAGATGTGGCGGTCTGCTTCCATAAAGATTTACAGCTTTGGGAACCAAATGCGGGTTGCTATGTGTTGTAATCGATTTGATGGCAGTGATTTTATTTATTGAGTTGGAAAGAAGTTCCTTATAGGCTAGGCGAGAAAAGCAGATTACAGAAAGGTGAATATAGTATGATCCCTTAAAAACACAAGTTGTGTTTACAAAGAGAAAACTCTGAAAAGATATACACCAAAGTTATCTTTAGGTGGTTATGAAGGGTGATTTAATTTTTTTCTCTAGCATTTCTCTATCATGAATGTAGATTAATTGAGTGGACTTTTTAAAAGAAGAAAGGGTTAAAGGAGACCTGGAGTCTGTATACTTGGGTGGAATGAAGAGTTAGGCTGACTTCTTTGTTGTTGCAGACTAACCAAAGTGGTTCGCATAAGCCTCATCGATCTTGGCCGAGCCATCAAAGGGCAGGTCCTGATGTCCTCAGAGCTGGAGGATGTCTTCGACAGCATGCTTGTGGGTAAAGTGCCTGCGTTGTGGGCAGCCAAGTCCTACCCATCGCTGAAGCCCCTAGGGGGTTATGTGACTGACCTGCTGGCCCGCCTGGCCTTCTTCCAGGTACCTGGGAGCTAGGGTAACAGGGTACCTGCAATCATTCAGGTGGAGTGAACATTCTGAAATGGCAGATTAAAGGCATGAGAGAAGTGAGGGCAGGCATCCACACAGCATCCTGTATTAAACACCTACTAGAAACAGTCGTCCCAGACTTGAGGGCAGGAGGAAGACTTTTTGAAGACCTATGGAGGCAGGAGTGGGAACTAGAATAGATATCAGAATGGTGGCTCATCATCTAGTTTTGGTCAATAGATACGGTTAGTTTGGCTGTCTGGTGATTTAAAAGTTTTTGAACTAGCATGTAAACGTTGGATTATTACACATAAAAATGCATGCATTTGTCCTACAAAAAAGGAAAGACCTGAAATAATGGGCCTGCATTCTTGCATGGTAACAATTTCTAGAGATGAGCAGCTATTGCTCAGTTTAGACAGGGCATATATTCTGCTACAGTCCCTACTGTTGTGTCTGTTACAGTCCCTACTACAGTCCCCTCTATTGTCTCTCCAACATCAGTTTATATTTGTGCTTTCCTTAAAGTAGAAAGTAGAATAGTAAAATATTTCCAAAGTAGAAATATTTTATTTGAACCTTCATCTCTATCAAAAGTGAGGAGATATGAGCTAAACTGAGAGAGATGAGTCTTTCCAGAAAAATCAGGAAAAGCAATTTCTGAACTCATGTATATTACCTTCCTTTGAATATACTCTCTGACATGTTGTTGGGTTTGGGTTTTTATTTCTGTGGCTCTCCAGGAATGGATTGACAAGGGGCCTCCTGTGGTTTTTTGGATCTCCGGATTCTACTTCACACAATCTTTCTTGACAGGCGTCTCCCAGAATTATGCCCGGAAATACACCATCCCCATTGACCACATTGGCTTTGAATTTGAGGTACAGTTGTTTTGGGTTGGGTTAGCTTAAAAAGCTAACCAGAGAAAGCAACATTACTCATTTCCTTATGAGCCTAAACATTTGGATGTGTTAAAGCCCAAATGCTTCTCAAATGGCATAAATGATTGCATGACTTAGAGTAGCTCCGAAACCTATTCTTAATTAGAATCAGAGGATTTCCAAGACTTTGTGTCTGTGGATATACAAAGGAAACTTTTCAGAGGAAACTCTGCCATCACCATACAAAGCAAAATGAGAGCATCCTTTACTTCTTGGAGTAAATTCATAGGAGTAGCCAATAGTTTGTATTAGTCTATCCATTTATGGAGAGGAAGGGGGAAGAGGAACTCTTAGAATTTTAAATTGTATGGAAAAATTCAAGCTCAGAAGTCACAAACTGGTTGCTACAGATCTTAATTTAAGATTGAAGTTGATTTGATGGGCCTTTGAGAATATGTTAAGCCAAAGTGAATGCAATAAGAAAACAAAATAATTGGAATAAACACTTTTGATTATAAAGTGATTGTATACCTAGAAATCCCTAAAGACTCTAAAAACACACCTATAAGAATCAATAGAAGAATCCACTAAGGTAACTGGATACTGGTTAAATATACAAAAATTAATAGCATTAAACATTTAGAAGTAGAAAGGGAAAACACATTCCATTCATAATATATGATTAGAACTTGAATGATTTTAAAAGGAGCTTATGCTGTCTGATTCACCATGATCCCCACCTCTCCCTATTTTCTTAGACCTAGACCATTTTCTGGGAGTTCTGGTGGCATAATGCCTGAGGCATTTGACTGCTAACCAGAAGGCTGGTGGTTCAAACCCACCAGCCACTCCTTGGAAGGAAGATTGGGCAATCTACTTCTATAGTGATACCACCTCGGAAACCCAAGGAAGGATTGCTATGAGTCGGATCCGACTCGACGGCAGTGAGTTTTGTTTTTTGTTTTTTTAGACCATTTTCTAGGAGCCCCGGTAGCACAATGGTTAAAGTGCTCTACTCCTAACCAAAAGAGTTGGTGGTTTGAACCCACCAGCTGCTCTGGGGGACAAAGATGTGACAGTCTGCTTCCATAAAGATTTACAGCCTTGGAAACTCTATGGAGTGGTTCTACTCTGTGGTATAGGATCACTATGAGTTGAAATCTCAACGGCAGTGGTTTTTTGAGAGTATTTTCTGTTAAAGGAATTTAAATTTACCACCTCTGAATCTAAAGAGTGATATGCTGGAGCTGGCTCATACCAGCTCACCAGAGCTAGCTGTTCTATTTTCAGGAATTTTGTGAGCTGGTTGTTAATAGTTGGTAGCCAGAAAGAGACCATGGCTTAGATCATTTACATCACAAAAACTGACAACTACAAATCAACGCTTCCTTTTCTGTCCCCCTAGAACCATTTTTATCAATATGTCTCTGAATACAACCCTTCACTTTTATATTTATAGATCCAGAAAAGGGAGGGATTGTACAAGGTCACTAAGCTAGTTATTGCGAACGCAGTCTCCTGACTCCTACTTTAGTGCTTGTTCATTCTGTCCCACCATATATAAGGACAGCACGCTGAGAATCAGACCTGCTCATCTATGGCAGGCAAGGATATTATCACAGAAGCCCCAGTGTCCTGGGGGAGGCAGACATTGCAGTCGGGTTGCACTTTGAGTATCAGAGGATGGCAATCTTTTAATGTTGCCCCATTTAAGAAAATGGTGGATGATGGAATTCATAGCTTTCTACTGTTCCAGGTGACCAGACAAGAAACAGCCATGGAGAATAATCCAGAAGACGGGGCCTATATAAAAGGGCTTTTTTTAGAAGGTGGCCGTTGGGACAGAACAACAATGCAGATCGGGGAGTCTCTCCCCAAAATCCTCTATGACCCACTGCCCATCATTTGGCTGAAACCTGGGGACAGTGCCACGTTTTTGCATCAGAACATTTACATGTGTCCAGTCTACAAAACAAGTGCTCGGAGAGGTGTCCTCTCCACCACAGGCCACTCCACCAACTATGTCCTTTCCATTGAGCTCCCGACAGACATGCCTCAGAAGCACTGGATAAACCGAGGGGTAGCCTCATTGTGCCAGCTGGATGACTGACACCATCTGTGTCAATTCAGAAAATAAAAAGCACTTCATTCTTGACTACATCCTAGCTTTCCTTTCTTGAGAGTCACATGGTATGAGATGGCAATGATATTAAGAGACCCTTGCTATGAGTCAGGTGTTTCAGATCAACCCTATGAAGTGAGTCTTGTTACAATACTCATTTATGGCTGCAGACACCATGATACACAGAAGGTAAGTAATTTCCTTAAATCTGATCACTACTCGACGGCAAATAACAACAACAACAACAACCAAGTGATAGAGTCTGGATTTTACCACAGTCTGTGGGACTCAGCCACCAGGACTTTCCATTTGACTAAGCTCCCTGGAAGTTATTTTTTTCCCATTATTTTGCTATAATTGCCATTAAATTTCTATTTCTTCTTTCCTCATCTATCCATGGGGGCTAAAATTTGGGCCTCTCAGAGGCTGAGAGGGGTTTGGACCACTTTTAGTTTTTAAGGCTTTTGAGATATTTAAAATGCACTTCTCTCAACAGTCTTAAAAGGTAAATGTTACCGTTATTTCATTGTACAGATGTAGAAATGGAGGCTTAGAAAAGTAATTCGCCTAAATCCCCAGGTAGTCAGTGGTAGACTTCTCTACTAACCTACACGAATAGGCTGAAGTTTCAGCAGGGAGAGGTGAGAGAACCATTATTTGTTGCATGCCTGCTGTGTGCCAGGGGTTGTACCCAAACCTACAGACATCTTGCTTGTTGATCCTAGGTGATGAGTATGATTGCCTCCCCTCTGGAGATACAGAGAGATGAAGCCACTTGTCTAAGGTCACAAAGCCTTTCACCTCGCAGAGCCAGGTTTTCAGCCAAGTCTATCTGGCTGTAGAGCCCATTCATTTTTCACTGCCATGTGCTGCCTTTCTGCCAAGGACTTGGCTATGCTGTGATATAGAATCTTAGAAGAAATACGTAACTCTAACCACTATGTACCAGAAATTTCTAGTTTTTCACTTGTTTCTTCCCAGAGCCAGTTGGAAAGAGAATTCTGAGGGAGATAAAAATCAGATTCTTGATGTACTACTGCTCAGTTAACTCTCATGTAGTTCTTTGGCTAGAAGTGACATCTTCCAGGGTGTCCTATTGGTTAATACCTAGTTGAGCAAAGACATAAGGCTATGTTAGAGTCCTCATCTGTCTGGACTGGCTTTTCTGCCTCTTCAGAATTATAAGAAATGTCCCCCACTCAGAGTCTTTCATTTTTCCTGGACGCAGGAAGCTGCCAAGAATCAAACTAGCATAGTCCAGAAACGCTCAATTTCTTCATGGGAAAGTGGCGCTGACCAAATTCAGATTGAAGACTCCAAATGCTGAAATAGGCAAATGATCCAAACAACCAGATCATAGAGATAAGTGCAAGAGAAGTTCTTTAAGTCCTGCCCCCGGAGGGAGATGAGGAGGAGCCAGTCTCCTTTAGCTCAGTCCAGAATAAACAGATCACTGGAACTGCCATGTTGTTCCAAGTAAAATTGTTAGTCACATGAGATGTCAAGGTGGTCAGGATCCCAAATCCCTGAACTTCACATTGAAAGCTGTAAAAGGGCTGGCAGTGGGGTTTTGCTAAGAGAACTGAATTTTAATTAGTTACTTAACTCCAGCTTCAACAACTAAAAGCTGATAGAGGCAGAGGCTGATTGTCTCCTTTCTCACGGGTCAAGGGATGGAATGTTTCTGTCTAATGTATTAAGTTTTTGTAATGTAAACAACTTCCTCCTCTTTGACACGGAGGAAATGCAGGACACACAGGAGTGCATAACTATGAGGGGCACAGGGCTGGGGGTTACTGGGCAGGGAGGGGAGGAAAGTGGGTTAGGGTTGGGGATGGTAAATGGGGAGTGAAACCAAATGTACATGAAATGTTGAATATAAAACAAACTCTGCTTTGTCAACTTGCACCTAAAGCACACACACACACACAATCTCCTCTTTGAAAAAAAAAAAAAATTGCACTAGAGATCATTTTCTATTGGGCCACTGTAATAATTAATGTCTCCCCCTGGGAAAGAGCAGTGTGTTTTTGAGTTAGAGACTAGAGTCCTACAGCAGAGATGGCCAGAGATCGGCTCAGTGAGAAACCACAGGCTCTGCCTATATATAGCTCAGCAGATGACATCAGACAAGTTTTGTCACCAAGCTAGTACTTGCTCTTTAAAAATCTGGCTGTTGGGTAAACAGTTCAGATTCAGTCCTTGTCAGCCTTGGATGAAAATTACATTGAAGGAGAGAATGTAGGAAAGGTAGGTTCTGCCTTTGAAAGGCTGAAGGTAGGGATTTTGTAGTTTTGGAGAGAAAATGAAAAATAAATAAATAAATAAAACACAGGTTACATGGAAGGTCTGGTAGTGAATTGATAATTATGCTTTTGTGTAATAGTATATCATCTTTACAAACTAGGTTGGGAATATCAAATTCACATGTAGGTGAAGAACTGATGCATGGAAGACATTCCAAGGGTAGCTGGCAATCATGGTTGACTTTCATATTGAAGAAAGTTGGATAGGGAAGGGTGCTTTCAAATTCAGCAGAGTAAGATGAAAATTATACAGTCACAAACACCTTTGAGTTGTTCAGGAAAGGGATGACATAGGCATGCCATATCTCACTGGGTCCAGCACAGCCAGTTTTTCCCTCCAGCGCAGGACAGATTGCTGGTTTTTTGGTTGACCACTAGAAGAAGTAAACTGGCTTGAGTTCATAGGCCATATGTTGCACAAAAAATACTTAACTTTAAATATTAGAATCACCTCAGGGCAGTAAAATGCATTTACATTGAGACCAGCTGGAAGGAGACTGACCCAGGGAACAGCAAATTCAAGTTTTCCAATTCACATTTTAGGCTGGTGTATATGCTCACTGAGTGGGATGGCCAACATGACTATGGGCACATTTCAACGTCTCCATCTTCATCCACTAAAGGCCTAGGGCTGCATTTGTGTTAAAAGAATATGTAAGCTACACTGCACTAATAGAGCATTAAATTTGTTCTCCACATCATTGCCCAACCTTGCAGTACTTCCACAGAGCATGGAAAAGTATCCTTCTGCTCACAGGGGCAGGTTTTTGAGAATGAAACACAAGGCTAGTTTGAATTAGAGGATCTATGAGACAAAGAATCCTAAATCTAGGTGTAGGCAGGGGAGTACCAACTGCTGCTTCTGAGGGTCAAAAGATCATGTTGGAAAAGAATACAGATACCAAAACTGATAGACATTTGTCTTTATTGTTGACATCCACTGTCTTTGAAGATCAAAGGCAATGGCACTCATGTACAAAGGACTTGCTGTAGGATTTTCACTTAACTGCACACATTATAAAGGTGTTAATCCTTCGTGTTTTGGTCTTTACTTTTCCCATTTATGTTTAGACATAATTTGAAAGCCAGCTTGGCCCTTATGCTTGTCGATTATGTTCAGGTAAAATACTCATGATGAAGGCAACATGAGTTTTAAGTGCTGTCCAGATCAGCACCCCTAAGTAATCATAGGCTTTAAGATAAGGTAAACATAAGCATTTAACTAAGACATGCATTTTTGTTTATGGGAAGTGAGGGATGGGTATCACATAAAACTTCTGAGAAAAACCATGATCAATCCAATGCCATTCCCTTTAAGAAGAATTATCTAGAATTTGGAAGGGTCAAAAGGCAACAATAAAAGCACACACAAGTCCACTTTTAAATAAATATGTAACCTGAAAAATATCCAAAACAATTCTGAGAGTGGTATATAATTTCATAGTACCCATAAGAACTTCTGGCAATTGGCTCATGTCTCTGAATCAGCTGGCATGTGTGGCTAAGAGCTTTCCCATGAAAATCTTTATTACCCTTCATTCTTCTTTCCATAGGCCTTAGTCTTGTTTCGAAATATGACTTCACTGCAAGGGTTCAAAGGTCCATAACTCCTAGGGTTAGTATCATCCACTCAGGCAGTAAAAGCCTGGCAAACTCTAGGGACATGTAGGCACACATCATGGGGTGAGTTCCAGTATCTTGGAGATTTTTAGAAGGTATTTGAATTTTTGCCCCTAATTAAGGAGAAAGATTTTGCAATCTGTTTTACATTCTTTCTAGTTGGCTCATCATTCTTAGAAATACACTTTCTCCTGGGTTAGAAAATTTCATCATGAGACTTGAGATATACTGGTTTGGAAAGCTTCCTCAATTTGTCCTGGCTTTGAAGTCCCCGACCTTGTAGTGGGGTAAGGCTCATCGGAGGCAGATGAATCTGAAAAATAAGTAAAAAAATTATGATGTTAATAATCATGATCATAATCATAGCATTAATTTATATTCACTGAGAATTTACTAAGTACCAGATTCTTTGCTAAATGCTAAACTTAGACTGACTCATTAATCCTTACAATCTTTATACATATTAATCTTTATAACAATCTCATAGGGAATTATAATTCTGATTTTCACAGATGAGAATATGGAGGCTCAGAGGAGTTCAATAACTTGCCCAAGGAGATATATTAAGTAGTGGAGCCAGGAGCTGAACGCAGATCTCTCTGATTCCAGTGTGTGGGCTCTTCTTGCCCTATTCCCTGCACAGAGGGAAAAATGACCACAGATCACACAGCAAAATGGGAATCCAAAGATGGGGGATGCTAGGGCTTGAAGTCTGTCCCCTAAAAAGACATGTTGAAGTCCTAACCCCCGGTGAATGTGACCTTATTTGGAAGTAGAGTCTTTGAAGATGTCATCAGTTAACATGAGGTTCTAGTGGAATAGGGTGGGTCCTAATCCAATCTGAGTGATGTCCTTATAAAAGAGGAGACACAAAGGAGGCTGTCCATGCCCTTGGTTAGTTGTGCTACAGCTACAAGCTAGGAACACCTAGGGCAAAAGAAGCTGCGAGAGACAAGGAAGGATCTTCCCCTAGAGGCTTCAGAGAGCATGGCCCTGCCCACACCCTGATTCAGGCTACTAGCCACCAAAACTGAGAAAATAAATTTCTATTGTTTAAAGCCACTCACTTCCTGGCATTTTGTTATAGCATACCTAGGAAACAAACATGTTGTTGTTGTTATGTGCCCTCGAGTCAACCCGACTCATAGCAACCCCTCCCCTTGGGTTTCCTAAGTGGTATCACTATGGAGGTAGATTGCCCAACCTTCCTTCCGAAGAGTGGCTGGTGAGTTTGAACCACTAGCCTTCTGGTTAGCAGTCAAGTGCCTTAGGCACTATGCTACCAAAGCTCCCGGAAACAAACGGGAGGAAAAAATGTATATGCGTACAAAGATGTTCAATGCGTAGCAAAATCAGAGACAACATTAATGCCTGCTAATAGGGAGCAAGCACTTGGCTGCTAACCAAAGGGTTAGTGGTTTGATCCCACGAGCTGTTCCATGGAAAAAAGATGAGGCAGTCTGCTTCCATAAAGATTTACAGCCTTGGAAACCCAATGGGGGTCTCTATGAGTTAGAATCGACTCAATGGCAGTGAGTTTGGTTTGGTTTGGAATAGGATGCTGAGCCCTAGGGACACAATGGTTAGAGCGCTTGGCTGCTAACCAAAAGGTTGGCAGTTGGAACCCCTCTCTGCAGAACAAAGATGTGGCAGTCTACTCCTGTAACAATTTACAGTTATGGAAACCCTATGCGGAAGTTCTGTTCTATACCACAGGGTTGCCATAAGTCAGAATCAACTCAATGGCAACAAGTAACAGGGAACTGGTTAAATTATGGCACATCTATACAACAGCATACAATGAAACTACTGAGACAGATTGAGGGAGAAGTATATACAAAGATGTCCAGGGTAAATTAAGTAAAGTAAATGGACAACAAAACAGTATGCCTAATATGAACCTATGTATATCAAGAAAATATATGTATAGAGCATAAGAAACAAAGACTCAAAGGACATATTACCAAACTTTTAGGTTGAACCAATACAATATGAAATTGCTGTTTTCATAGGCCAAAGAGTTGAATATTGGCAATTTGTTATGGTCCAACCTCACAGTTAAAGTGGTCATTTCTGCAGGGTGAGGATTTTTGCTAATTTCCACTTTCTACTCTCTGCATTTCTTTAAGGTTTAAAGTTTATTCTTTTATTACAACAAGTCTATCTTTTATAATAAGGAAAATAAAAACATTTTCATAGAAAGGGCAAGGGTTAAAAGAGGAAGCTATATGTTTTATTTATGGGGTAAGGTTGTAAAGATAGGAGAAACCAGGCATTCGTTAACATTTTAGTTTGTTGCAGTGGGTTGGTGGTATGTAAGATAGCTTATTTCCAGCATTCCTCAGCAAGTATGAGCCCTCACTGCACATATTCTTGGAAATAACCAAGTTGACAAGGATTAGTACCCAACACATGTTAATTGGAGTCACACTTACTGGCCTTGGATAAGGAATCTGGTAATGCAATCCAATTTCAATCCTGGCTGTGCATTCATCTATACACTGTTTAATCAGGTCTGTGTCTGTGAGCTGTTAACAGGAGGAAACAGGTGAGGTTATTAATATTTTTCTAATGCTACATAAAGTATGTTGTTGTTGTCAGGTACCTTTGACTCACAGTGACCCCATGTGCAGGACAGAACTGCCTATAGTGTTTTCTAGGCTGTTCTTTACGAAAACAGATTGCCAGGTCTTCCTCCTGTGGAGTCACTGGGGGTTGGTTCAAACCACCATCCTGCAGTCAGCTTAATCGTTGTGCCACTAGGGCTCTTTACATAAAGTATAAGTGTACATTTTCTTAAACTTTTTAAATTTACTAACCACTAAATCAAATATGGATAATTTGAAAATCAAAGTAATTTAATAAATAAATTTAAATTTACTATGGATTAAACTTTTTTAAATTGTTGAAATAGTTAAGTAATTCAAATAATATACAGAAAACAGCATGAAAAGTCTCCCTCTTACCCGTTGCCCAGTTCCCCTTCTCAAAGACAGTAATTACCAGCAGTTTCTTGTATGTCCTTCCAAGGATATTCTGTGCATATATAAAGACGCATATATAGACAGTCTTGTTTTTATTTCACTTTGTTCTGAACCTTGCTTTTTCACTAACAACATAACTTGGAGCTCCTTGTACATTCACACATACAGAGCTGCCCCATTCTTTTTAACAGTTGTGTAAAATTCCAGTATAAGTCTACCGTAATTTATTTAATCAATCCCTAGCTGATGGACTTTTAGTGTATTTACAGTCCTTTGCCATTACAAACAATTCTGCTATGTGTTTCTGTAAAAAATGTTTTTGTGCTCATTTGCAAATATCTAAAAGATCAATTCCAAGAGCCAGATCTGCTGGATCAAAGGGTGTATGTTCGTGCATTTTACATTCTGACAGATATTCTAAAATTATCATCTAGAGGTTGTACCAATATCCCCACCAACAATGTGTAATTTTTTTGCACACCAACACTGTATAAGAGTACAACTCTGGATCCTCTCCGTGTTGACTCAGTTTTCAAGTAACCCCATTGTTTCTGCACATGCTTTTTAGAATCCTTCTGAATAAGATACTGGAAAATGCACCACCTCTCATTTTGAAGCATAAACTGCCTTGCTCATTAGGAAGTGGAAGAAAGGGCTTTTGAAATCCCAAATAGGTCAAATCATGGAGGTCTGGTTTCAAGTCAAGGGATGAAAAGCTCTTTCTGAAAAACAAAAAGCCAGGTAGGAGAAGGGGGAGAAGCACTTTCATTCTGAGGATGGAAAATGAGTCAACAGGTGGCTCTATTAAGGGTTGCAAGTGAGCCTCAAAGCAAAGCTAGGATTGCATCAGCCCCAGATGACACCCACAGTGACGTCTAGGCCTATGAAGCTTGGAAATTGCAAGGGAGTTCCTGTCCTATGGTACCTCTTGGAACAGAGAAATGTTCCAGGAACAGCAATGCACAGAATCAAACATGAGTCCCTTCGAGAAAATGCTCAACTTTTTGACCTCTGTGCTTTGTGGAAGCTGCTGCTCTCATGTCCACCTTGGGAATACATTTCCATGTTCCCATTAGCCCAATGGGATTCAGAGAACTTCATGACCTATCTTTGGATTATTAAGCTCTTACAGTTAGTGAGGTGATGAGAAGCAGCTACTTACGTCTGCCTGGGAAATTGAGGAGAAAGGAACAGCCCTGACAAAGATATGGTTAAGGGGACTGTGGGACAAAGGGGGAATGGGGTGCGGGGGCTCCAGCTCTCCATCTGAGCAATCACGGGCTAGAATCCTCCAAACTCCATTCATTCACGGCTGCATGCATGATTTTGCCTCATCTACACACCACCTGCATATGAAAGCTAGACAATGAATAAGAAGGACTGAATAAGAATTGAGGCCTTTGAATTATGCTGTTGTGAAGAGTATTAAATATACCATTGCAGTGTAGTAAATTACATAGTGTGGCTTTTCTAGCCATAAGTCTTTGTAAACTCCATAGTAGACTTTGCTGTGAGCAACTGACTAGATCCTGATTGTTAAACTTACCCACCTGGAGTATTCCTGTTGTGAGCAGCACAAAGTAATTTTCTGGGAAGTCTGTGCTCTCTGAGGTGTATAGAATTCTGATGTTGGGATTTGTTAGTTTGGCCACTCTGCCAGGCTCAAAAGGAGGCCTCCTAGAGGCAGAAGGAGTCTCTCTGACTGCTGGGTGAGAGAGATGGACTGCTGAGAGAGAATCTCTCACTGCCGGCTAAGAGACGCAAGAGACACGCATTGCTGAGAGAGATGCGAGAGACATGCACTGCTAAGAGAGACACTGAGAGAGACACACTGCTGAGAGAGAGAGAGAGGCACCAAGGGACATGTGCTGCTGGGAGAGAGACTGAGAGAGACTGTCAGCAGAGAGACGGCAGGCTGAGAGAAACTGAGCATGTTCCTGAATTTGAATTGTAGCCTGTTGCTTCCCTAATAAACCCCATAATCTGTGAGTTCCATGTGGCCACTGCAGAGAATTACGGAACCCAGCAGAGAGCTGGTAGGTGCTGCAGGAAGAATGGTTGGTGAAAAGGCTGGAGGGCAGCAGCATGTCTGGCCTCCCAGGAATAGGCCTTGGGCTATTGATGGTGATTCTGTCTTTGTCTTGTGAGGTTAGAGGAACTAAGAATATGCGGCCTCCTTCCCCTTTGGTAACCAAGGACTGCCAGAAGAATGAACAAATCTGTCTTGGGAGAAGTAAATGCTTTTTAGAAATAAGGGTGGCGAAACATCATCTCACATACTTTGGATGTATTAACAGGAGGGCCAGACCCTGGAGAAGGACATCATGCTTGCTAAAGTAAAAGGTCAGTGAAAAAAATAATGGGCAGTGAGTGTTTCATTGTCTTATACATAGGGTCGCTATAAGTCAAAACTGACTCGATGGTACCTAACAATAACAACACATACTACCTATATACACCATCTAAAATATATTAATATTTTCTTTAAATGATTCTCTCTTAAGCAATAATATTTGCAAAATTATGGTCTGATTCTATTTTCCTTCTAATATATTATAAAACAAATATATATCTTAATACTACATTAAAACCCACATACCCCCATCCAAATAATTTAACATACTATCAGTGGTATAGGAGCTCTGGTAGCAGAGTCCCTAAGGAACTTGACTGCTAACCAGAAGGCTGGCAGTTCAAACCCACCAGTCACTCCTCGGAAGGAAGGGTGGGCAATCTACTTCTGTAGTGATACCACCTCAGAAACCCAAGGAGGGGTCACTATGAGTTGGGTCCAACGCGACAGCACATAACAACAACAACATCAGTGGTATGCATACTTCCCACCAGCTCACACTAATTTGTCCAATCCAAACAGAAGCAAAGAAATGATTATTGTAATAACTGAAAACTCAAAGGACCTCAAGCAATTCTTTTTTTTAGCTTGCAAGGGTTTACTGGGCATTTACTATGATATTCTCACTACCAGGTTGGACATTGTTGTGCCATGGTCCCTGCCTTCCACTGTCAAGGTTATTACCTGATACATGAAGATATATAAAAGGCAAATTGGCATTATCAACAAAGAAAATGACTGGCACAGACTGCTATAGGAATTCAGAAGAGTTCGCTATTGTGGTGGGGGTGAGGGGAGAGGGCAGAGAAACTGAGATAGACTTCCTAGAGCAAGTCAATTGAATCAAATTATTTGTAATGCTCATTAATTAGTGACAACCACAAGGCAGGTCCCACAGGATCTATGAGAAAAGTATAAGACATTGCTTAAGAGTTAACAACCTGGTTATATACCTGGTTAAGGAGACAAGGCCAAAATAAAGAATAAGAAAAAAGAGAGTATGACCAACTACTTGGCGGTGGATATAGGTCAGTACAACTCTTGTGGCACAGTGTCTAAGGCATCTGACTGCTAAACAGAAGGTTGGAGGTTCAAAGCCACCAGCCACTTCATGGAAGGAAGATGGGGCAATCTACTTCTGCAAAGATTTACCACCACAGAAACCCAAGTGGGATCACTATGAGTCGGAATTGACTTAATGGCAGTGAGTTATTTATAGGTCAGTGGCTTCCAAATTTTTTGATGACCTACTTCTTTCAATAAAAAATTTGAGCCTAGAGTTCCCATATATGTATTTCTTTTAATTTATACATTAACTTATTGACTTATAAATTATCCAAATGGACTAGTAAGTTCGTTATAAAATATACACAAAATACATATTTTTAAAGGATGAAATAACAAATTAATAGAAATAGCAGTTGTAGTATTTTCTTTCCATTCCCAAGGACTTTGTTTAAGGACCACATAGGTATGCATACTGATTATGCATGAACAATCTACGCTAAGAAGAGTGTGTGTTTGGAGAAACTGAGGTAGGTAAGAAGGGCAGAGAGAAGCTTCAGAAGCCAGCTGGCCTTTAGCAAGGAGCTTCAGGGATTCAGAGATGAAATGGAAGGTACTGTAGATTAGGAGAAGTTGTTTTGTAGTGCTTATCCCAACTGTTTTTCAGCTCCCTCTGAAACAAAGATGCCTGGTGGCATAATGGTTAAGTGCTTGGCTACTAACTGAAAGGTTGGAGGTTTGAACCCTCCCAGTGGCTCTGCAGGAGAAAAAGACCTGGAGATCTGCTCCCTTAAAGATTATAGCCTAGGAATCCCTGTGGGATCTTACAGGGTCACTGTGAGTTGAAACTGACTAACTGGCACACAACCACTACCACCTCTCAAACACATTTGAGGGACCCTGTCTTGGTTTTGCTCATTTTTATATCCCCAACATCTAGTGTTTGGCACATGATGGGCACTCATTAATTTGTTGAATGAAAGAATAAGATGACTTGCAGGGTGATAAAGAAGCTATGACAGAAATGGGCAAGCTGGGGAGGGGAGGCACTGCTGCAGAAAGATGAGTTCTGCTTTGGACCATTATGTCTGTGGTGAGATGCTTCAGGTGCCGGTGAGGAGCCAAGGCTGGGTATTCAGATGTGGGAGGTGAAAGTACAAGGTGGTTGCTACTTCTGTTGGCCTCAGTGCAGAGGGCTGACCTGCAGAGTTAAAGCTGGCAGGCGGGTACGTGGAACAGATGGTGCTGCAAAGGAGACAGTGACGGGTCAAAGAAAACAAGGAAAGAGCGTAGACTGTCAGGAAGTCTCACAAGGGGAACAGTGGCAGCACTGAATCCATTACCCGAGAAGGAGGTTCATTCAGTGAGGAGGCTGAAGAACGGTCAGGAGCTGAAAGCCTCTTCCCATGCTTGGTGCCAGACAGTCTTTCTAAGGAGCTAATAGCTAATGCTTTATGGCTTGTCAGAATGGGTCAAATTGAGCTTCTTAGAAATGGTTTCTGGCTCTCTGGTCCTTGGGTGTGGAGTTAAACTAGCTAATGGAGACACTATTTTACCTAACACTGTGCTCCCAAAGGGCAAACTTACTCTCCTACCCAAAGAAGCCTAAGTTCAAAGCTACATTATGAAGGGAACTTGGTGTCTCAATCTTATTCTTTTCCCGTTGAATAGAGGCTTTGAATAGTGTATGAATTGAGAAGAGAAATAAAAAATTAACTGTGTACCTCCTGTGGGTGTGGCTGGCAATGGCCTCAGTGTGTGAGGCACAGCCCTGTCTGAATATTCACATTGGCCTGGTGGTCACCTGGCTCGTGGGGTTTTCTGGGAACAATGAACCAGCTTGACCCAGATCTGAACACGTGAACAGAGAAACATGGGCTGGGCTTTACTTTCCAGTGGCTCTCTCCCACTCTGACTTGTGCTGTTCAATCCTCTCATTTTTAAGACAAGACAGAAAAGAAATGAACAAACACCACAAGACACTGCTTCCCACTAAGGTCAACTGGCATAGTCCCCAAAGACAATGTTCTGTATTCTATTTTGGTGAGTGGCAGCTGGGTCTTAAAAGCTTGTGAGCAGCCACCTGAAGTAAAACTATTGGTCTCCCTCTATTTGGAGCCTTTGCTCTTTAAGAGTGAAGACAAAGATGCAAGGAAATAATTAGTCAAAAGGACAAATGGACTACACAAACCCCAGTCTACACAACCTACTGAGACCAGAGGAATACATGCTGCCCAGCCATCATCGCTGACCCTTGTGAAAGGGATCACAATAGGAGGTCCTGGATAGAGTGGGAGAAAATTGTGGAACAAAACTCAAAATCATAAAAAAAAAAAAGAGAGCAGGTTTACTGGTCTGATAGAGATGGGGAGAACCCCTGAGACTATGGCCATTAGACACCCTTCAAGCATGGAACTGAAATCCCCGTGGCTCAACTTTCAACCAACAACAGACAGATCTGTAACACCAGGGAGGTTCACACTTCTTAGATCAACCAACCATCAGAGAGCAAAAGGGCAACATTTGCCCAGGGATAAACCTTAGAAGACAGGAAAGAATAGCAAAGGAGAAGGGAAATGGTAAACACAGGGAAGAAGTAGGAAGAATGCTGTTACATTTGGGGAGTGCAATGAATGTCACAAAACATGCATGAATCATTGAAGGGAAAGCCAATTTGTTCTGTAAACATTAACCCAAATCACAATAATAATAAAAGAAACTGCTCTCCTCTTTGAAAACTCTACATGGGGACTACTTACATTTTTGTTTTTCTGGAACAGTGTTCTGGCTTCATTTAATATGTACTGCTTTTCTTTAATGGTGTCTTCCATCTGCCCTGATGCTGCCTGCCACTTCCTTGCAAGCCTGAAAATCCTGCGGTAGAGGCCAAGAACTTCTTGTCGTGTTGCTGTTGTCATCTTCAGACCCACCAAAATAGAAGAGGGAAAATTTGCATAAAAATTCAGACAGTAGGCAGCCAAGCAGATGCACATTTCTTTAATCAAGTTCTTTAATTAGTCTGGAAATAATTGCTTTTGCTCAACAGATCTGTTTGGTAGCATTGCCAAAATGGTATAATAGGAACATTAGCTATCTCTCAACTAGCCGTGTTCATCCTCCCAAGGCTGAGGATTGCTCAGCCATGCTGTTGGCCATAACAGCCAATTTTACAAACAGGGCAAAAGGAAAAGTCACATTTACTGTTCTCTAAGCTTTTACCAGAACACTTTAGAATGCTTTAATATGGATTCTGGTCTATCATATCATTAACCTGAGTACCTAGGAGAAGGCACCTTCTGGATAACTGAATTTCCTAGTTAAGTAAGAACTGGAATTTAATGGAACTTCCATGCTTCTGGTACCTGGCAGGTAACATAAATAAGGGAACCTGGCAGGGTGGGGACAGTGGCCAACTGGAGAGGACACGCTGCCTTGAAAGGATACGGTTGCTACTCAGTTCCAGCCAGCTGCTGCCATGTAGAAATGAGGACCTTGGGATGCTAAGTTTCCTGATAGCTTGAGAATACATGGCAATCTAGATATTTCAAAATCAGATATCTTCTGTTGCTGTTCTTGTACGATACTGAGTCGAATCGGACTCCTCTCAACCCTATATGACAGAGCACACTGCCCCACAGGGTTTTCTAGGTTGTAATCTTCCCAGGAGCAGACCACCAGGTCTTTTCTCCCCCAGAGCCACTGGTGGGTTCAAACACTGACCTTTTGGTTGGTAGCCAAGCATTTGACCATTGCACCACCAAGGCTCCTTTTGAGAAATCTCCTAAAAGGCATTTAATTCTTGATTTTTGAAAATGTGAACACTACACAGGCCAAACCAAATGAGTCTGTAGGCTAAGTTCGTCCACCAGAGCCTGTCAGGTTGCAACCTCTTTCACTACAGCCTTGTGGGAAGTATTTCTCAAAACTGTCACGCTACATCCTTGTCCACATAACTAGACAATGAGTGCAACTGAAAATCTTTCTGATAACTGAAGATCCTGTGGCCCCTCTAGATTTTCAATCTGAAAGGTCGGTTTTAATTTCAGAGCACTTGGCTGAATGTAAACTGACTTAAGTATCTCCTCTAAAGTTATTTTTATTTTTATTGTTTTCCTTTTTATTGTGATTTGGGTGAAGATTTACAAAGCAAATTCAATTTCCATACAGCAGTTCACATACACTTTGTCTCATGACATTGACCACAATTT